GAAAGGCCAGTCAACATTTGGAACGTTACTATCTGTATGAAAACTTAGGTGCTCGCAATTCAGTACTATTTGAAGGAAATACGATTTTGCTCCACAAACTAAGTAACTTGAGTTAAGAAACCTCTGTTAACTATTGGGTTTACTGCTGTTGTTTTCAGGGTTTGGAGGCCGATAGCCTGAGACTAGAAGCTCTTGGAACAGACAACAATGGGGCATCGTACTGGTACTTCTACGGCACGCGACTGTACAAAGAAGACCCCGAGATCATCGCACAGGACAAGGCAGACAAGAAAAAACAACAGTAAGTCATTATGTTTATATTTCTTTCACCATCAATGACGTCTGAATGTTAGACTAAGGAAGTAAAGTTGTTCATATGGCTTGTGCTAACAGTGATTGTCAGCAATGCCATCTAGTTACTGAATGAGGTACTGCAGTCAAGAATCATGACAAGTATTTTTATTTTGTACCACAAGTGTCACATGGAGGTCTTATTCTGCTTTTAAGGCTGATCTTCTTGTTTCATTCAGCATGTTCACCTTTATGTAATGTATTACTTTGTACTTTGTAACTTTCCTTCTTTTTTTCCCAACACAGAGACAAGAAAAAGCGTAAGAAGTTAAAAGAAAAGGAGAAAAAGAAGAAACAGAAGGGGAAAGGTAAAGACAAGACCAAGAACAAAGTCAAGCACAAGAAAAGGAAAAAGGATGATTCCAGGTATTGACAACTTTGCTTTTTGGCAGTCATTTGCTGAGATTAGTATGTTTTACCCTTACACTGCCCATAGAGATTTTTCCATACTTATTTTTCATCCAATTAGGCAGCCTGTAAAGGACCCTCTTAATGCATGTGATATCATTGTATTATCTTTTGCCAGTACATTTGTACATGTACTTGCCTTTATTACCATGTTTAGCCAGGTACATATTGATTTCGGGTGTTACATTCACAGTAAATAAAACCCTGAACATGCTCAGAATAATGCATATAAACTAATCTTCCCCCAGAAAAGGCTTGTCTACAGTCTATGTCCATCTTTCCTCCCTGTATCACACTTGCAGTGACTCAGACTCCGAGATGTCAGACCAGGAGGAACAGTCCAAGAAGAAGAAGAAGAGGAAACACAATCCAGGCAAAGACTCCGCTTCAGATGCCAGCTCTGATGGGGAGGACAATGACAGCCATGGTAGTGAGGATGAGAGGGAGTTCAACGAAAGGTGTGCAATATCATAATAAGGCAGTGTTATTATATATTACCATAAGTAGCAGTGTTAGAAATACCCACCAGCAGTCTACATTTTATAAAGTTGCAGAAGAAAAATTGCAGTCTTGTAGACTGAAAAAATCAGGCTATGGGTTCAATGTTGTGACTTACATGTAGTAATAAACTAGTAATTTTGCATGTATTTTTCAAATTTGTAAAATATTTGCCAACATGCAATTTTGTATATGCCATATGTGTAGGTCCAGATTTATAAGTGTATATTTGCAGAAAGTACATGTATTCCCGAATTGCAGAGCAAAATTTTGACATTCTACAATATTGCAGAACACTGAAAAAAAAGTATTTCTATCACTGAAGTAGCCAGGCCTACAGGCAAATTAACAAATCATGATTTAATTACCCTAATTTGCAAGTGCACTGGTACAACTTTGTGCCAATAGACTGTTAAGCTACGGTCGCAACCCGCCTTACGTGCTTCTGTGTGCTGTCTACGTGCAAAAACGTGGGCAAACGCAGGGCATCCGTGCGTGGTGAGTACTGTCTCCGTACGGAATCCTACGGATTTGGGAGCACGCAGACACGCCGTAGAACTTTAAGTGCATGTAAAATTTTTCTGCGTGCGGTCTACAGATTCACCACCCGTGTGTACGAGTACGAGCGACGAGCGTGCCCCGTACGTGCCGTACGGAAGAAGCACGTGTGAGTACGGCCTCCTTACGGTAAAGTTGCAATCGCACAGAGATCGTACGTTGTAAGCAAGTACAACTCACTTACCACTTGCGATGCACGCAACCGCTCACGGCCAGACGTGGCGTGCAGACCACACTCTTACACCTTGCGAAACCGTGCGAGTGACGTGTGTCGATGCCACTCCTTCCCCACATTTTCAGAAAAAACGTAGCAGACGTAGCCTCCCAAAAAACCTACGGACAAAAAGCACGCACGGCGGGTTGTGACCGTAGCTTCACAGATTGCTGTACATGTTTAATTTTGTGATGTTGTAGGTGGAGTCTAATATGCAGCACGGCAGAAGACTGGTCCAACTTGGCCGAGTCCTTCCGAGGCAGTAGAACCCAGGTGGAACGTCGTCTGTACAAGACTCTCATGGAAGACTTCGTCCCCGAGATCCCAGAGATGATAGCTGCCAAGGTTAGCCCTCAGTTTTATCCCACCATCTTTCAGGGATGTTGTACATATGCCAGTCTTGTGGCATAACAATGCTGTGATTACGTATTTGAACTTCAGAAGGTGCCGTTAATGTTGCAGTCACAACCAGCAACTGAAATCAGTGTAACATTTAAATTGGCTCCTGAGAAAAAGGCTACCATTTATACACAATTTCACATGCACACATATATTGTATATCAGCTAAGATTTTTAAAAACAAAACTAAGACTATAATGCAGAAAATAATTCTCTCTAGTCATTCGAAAACGTAATTGGTATAATGTTCATTCCTGCATTTGTATGTTACATTTGGACTCCTAGAAGACACTAACACTGTTTCTATCTTGTTTTGTTGTTTCATGACCACCAAGGACAACATTGACACTATCTATGCTCGCTGGGCCGGCATTGCTGCCGACACCCATGTATGTCTTTGTCTGCTTGGTATCTTGGCATGGAACTCTCCCTGGCCCCACCATCACAAATTGATTAGAAAAGGCAGTTCAAAAATGAAATAAGAAGTCGAATTGGTCTCGAAATTTGAAAGAACAACAAGTAGAAACAAAGCTTTTGAATGCTAACGAGCAACGTTTTATCTGAAGTTTAATCAAATACAATGTATATAAATAGAATATTAAACCCGCCTATTTATTGAATTTTGGGTGTATCATCCTAAAGCCCTGACTAGAATTCCATGCCTAATATGGTGCTATTTCTCATATATTTCCAGGCATTGTAGACCTAGACGTCTATTTGATTTTCACACAGGTGACACGTACATAGCGATAACAATGTTGTTTTTGCTGTGCAGGAGAAGTTGCAAGAGAAGAAGCTCCTTGACCTTGCGCCTAGAAGAGCCTCTGAGAGGATACAGGTCCTGCGGATAAAGCAGGAAGAGGAGGTCAGTTACTTCATTGACTGCACAATTACTCAAAGTTAACCCAACAACCACTACTGTTGCACAATATATTGCAGACTGATGTTGTTTATCAGATTCTGTACATGTATCTTATGGTTGATGTTACAGATGTTACCTAGTTCATGAATTAGTACCTTCTGAAGTGTCCATATTCTACATGTACTCCATCTGACATAGTAACATCCACAGGAGTTAAACTGTTCTTCATAATTCCCCATCTTTCCAAGTGCCTACCTCTGAACTTTTTAGAAATTGTACTGCATATACTTTTTTGGTCAGCACGTTGGCAGAATGTACATGTACTGTGCCGTCTTTAAACCCACAATATACTATACAGAAGAACATCCAGTTTAAGATCGACCTCCCATCTACAGTTTTCACATGTTGTGCCTAAAAAGATAGTGTGTCTGTAATGGGCAAAATTCTGCTTCAACATTGACCAAACATCCAACAGAAAATGTGAAAAATCCAGGTTTCAAGTAGGTGCTTTCTGCTCTTTTTGACAATGTGCTCTTTTTGTCAATATTGATCCATGATTGTGTTGTTCCTGCAGGAGAGGTTGGCTGCCATTGCCCTTGCTGAGGAGCAGGAGAGACAGATGAAGGAAGAAGCTGAACTTAGGAAAAAGCTGGAAGAAGAGAAGAAGAAAGAGCGTGAAAGACGGGCCAAGCTGCGGGAGGAGGCCATGGAGAGGGCCCGCGAAGGTAAATGCCTGGGAAAGAGGGACACAAAAGTGTAGAAGTAGATACAATAAATCACTTTATATTCACCATAGCAAAAGTTTACAACCTGAGAAAAATTTACATGTTTGCGGAACTATATATTTGCTGCGGTGGCAGGTACAGAAAAAAGAAAGTCAGCAATTTATTAAATTTTGTTCATGGTAATGATAAGTTTGTGGTGTAGAAGTGACCACGAAAACCGTGAATATAAAAGCCTAATAATACAAAGATTTACAGTATACACAAATGGTGCTCATGCATTATTTTTCAAAACTTTTTGGGCCCCTGGTTTCGAAATGTAACCTTGGCATAAGTCAGTGTTTCAGCCAGGAAAAGAACTAGCTGGGTGTCGTCTCTGAGATGGCTGACCATTATTACTTGTGGATTTTCCCCTTCTCTTGAAGTTAACGTTATCCGTTATTTGATTCAGCACGAGAAAAGCGCGCCCGTCTGCGGGAGGAGAAGGCGTGGCTGTTGGCGCAGGGGAAGGAGATCCCGCCTGAGCTGCTCAAGTCTTTCGAGGACTCCCCACAGCCACCCGACGCCCAGGACAGCTCTGACGCAGACATGTTTGAGCTGGATGATGATGTCTACATAGCTATGTACAAAGGTAAGGAATTCTGTGCTCCATGTCTCCCATTTGGTTAAATTTCTTGACTCTGGTGCAGTTCAATTACATGTGTTCATGTTGGGACTTACAGACCATTTGTCTTGTTTCTCATTTTACTTGTCATTTCTGATGTCTGATCATGCACTGTAAGCTCAAAATGAAGTCTCTGGAGAAGAAAGTAATTTTTGTTCTGTTTTTTTCTTCCCCCAGTTTTTGATTCAGTGAAGGCACATGAAGATGCCTGGCCATTTGCTGAACCTGTGGACGAGTCTTATGCTCCAGGCTACCATGACATCATTGAGGTAAATGATTTACCAATTGGACCCAACAATGACTTTTAGCATCATCTTAGAAAAGGGATAATAAAGCTAGCCAAGTATAATTTTATCCTGCATATTGTGAAAAAGATCCCCAGTCTTATTATACTTAGGCTTTTGACACATGTTCTGCACATTTCATGTATCATTGACTGTTGCTTAACTTAAAATGTTGAGGCTGTAAAAATTCTGACCATTGTCCACTTTGCCAAGCTCAGAAATGATGTTACTGTATTTACTCATACATTGTTCATCATACATTGCTCCCAGCACCCCATGGACCTGTCAACAATAGAGAAGAAACTCAACGACAAGGTCTACACCAAGAAAGAGGAAGTAAGGATACTTTCTTTGTGATTTTGTAACAGTTACACTTAGTCTAGTTGCCTTATACATGGAACAGCCATTTCATTGTTTTTACCTCCATGAAAAATGGAGGTATTGTTTTTGGCGGCGTCTGTCTGTGTGTCTGTGTGTGTGTGTGTGTGTCTGTGTGTGTGTCTGTGTGTGTTTCCGCAACTTTGTAGTCAGCATAACTTCATAACGCCTGTATGGATTGTGATGATATTTGGTATGTTGGTAAGTCTTAGGAAGACAAAGGTCAAGGTCAAATATGGGCCTCCTGGTGGATGACCTTGGTACTGCACCAGAACTTCCGGTTTTTGTATCTTTGGTCCTGAACATGCTATGGTCTTGAATTTTTGGTGACAGATAGCTTTTCCAGCCAGGAATGAGTGGTGTGGGTTTGGTCCCCCTAGCAGCTTGTTCTAGAACTGCAGGGGACTTTCGGGCGAAATCTTTGAAAGCCAATAAGTCCAGATAGGAACAGCGTATTTTCATCATTTTTGGTGTGTAGGTATCTGACAGAGAGATGTACATAATTAACTGCAAATTATGCAAATGAGGACTTTATTTGCATAATTAACGAGGAAGTTCTATAATTACAGTGTTTTACATTATAGAACTTTCATACATATAATGTATGTAACCTATGGCAGATGGAACATCAACAGATACTGATTATGCAAATGATGACCTAATTTGCATAATTAATGCAAAAAATCTATGATTTCTCAATGGTGAATGATGGGAATGTCATACTTGGGACATCTTTAAGTTAATCAAAAGTTAACATCACAATGCATATATTATGTTAATGCAGAGGTCATTTGCGTAATTAAAGAAGAAATTTACATTTACATATCAAGCCCATATTTCATGGAGGTATGAAATCTCGGAATTCTTGTTTGGTATAGTAATGAAAGTTGATAAGTCCTGGATGAATTTTTGAACAATCTTCTGCACTGTTCTCTTTCACAGTTGGTTGCTGACTTCCAACTGATGTTTGACAACTGTCTGGACTACAATGGGCCCAACAATGGTAAGTACACAAAACAGTATTCCTTTCAAAATATTGAGGAAAGGATGGTAAAAAGAAAACATAAATGACTCCATCTCTTTTTACTACACGTATTAGCTAATCACAGTGTACTTTCCTTATGTTGGTGTTTTTGTGCATTTTCCTCCCTTATCCATAAGGAGATTAGCCTTACCCCATCAAAAGTCTTAAATTTATCTTATTTTCTTGTAATGCAGAATATACGGAGATGGCACAGAAACTGGAGAGGCTGTTCAAGAAGAACATGAGGAAAGAGTTTCCTAAAGAAGAGGCCGAGAGTGATGATGAGTATCAGGTATGCACTGCTTTCCTATTACTAAGTATCAGTGTATCAATCATCTCATGTGAATTAGCATTTCTCAAACCAGCAACCTGTGTTTTGTAGAGCTTGTTTGCCACTATCTTTACATGGTAATGCTAATGATGTTGGTGCAAATTTTCAGTGTTGTGAGTTATTGCCACTTGGAAGGTTTTCCATGGAAAAGGGAAAAGACCCTTGCATGTTTTGGTCAAAGGCTAACTGAAAAGTAAACAAAAAAGAATAAAAAGTAAAAGGTGTTCAGTAAGGATAATAGTTTGATACTAGTACTTCAGAAGGTAACCACTATGTTTCACAGCTCTGTCTTACCAAGATATTTTTGTTACAGGTTGGAGAAGATGAGATACCTGTCTCGGAGATCAAGAAGAAGAAGAAGAAGCCAGGTGAGAAGGGGCCGTCCGGTCAGGTGGTAATGTATCACAACAGAGACCAGGAGAGCCCGCCCCCTGGTTCAGAGATGAACAACTCGTACAACAAAGTGCAGCCACCGTTTCCGTACATGCCCAATGAAATGCAGATCCATCGCATGGCTAATGGTACTGTGATGTCGCAGGCTCCTGGAGGGATGAACTATCCACCAGGCCACCCCATGGCCAGACCCGGTCATCCGTACATGCAGCCTAATGGAGGTCCCAGACCTGGCATGTACCCCCGTCCTGTACAGGGTTATCCTCCCCAGCACCCAGGGATGCCCCAGGATGGGAGGAACGCCCTCCACGAGGCCTTCCTGAGGCACCGTATGGGGAAGGAGGTAGGACAGAGACCACCTGGGCCGTACGACCCCAACAGGCCCCCTAACATGCCGTACAGTAACGGCCCTGGCCAAGGAAACCCTATGTACAGAATGCCTCCAAACATGCCTCCCAACGGGTACCCACAACAACAGGGAGTTCCACCGTATGCTGCTAACAGCCCTCAAGTTCCACCCAATCAGAGACCACCAAATATGCCACCTTACAGCGGACAGCAGTGGATGCCCCCGGCCCCGGGGCAGGGCCCTCCCCACCCCCATGACCAACGTAATCCCATGATAACTCAGGGTCAGAGACCCCCTCAGCCTGGTGCTGTGCCGCCCCAGCCAGGATATCCCATGCAGCAACGGTACCCTCAGATGATCGACTTGAACCAACATTCCAGAGAGTGGGTCAACAGACCGCAGGGCCCGCCTGGGGCGGCCCACCCAGGGCAGTCCCCGCAGGGCCCACATCAAGGGCCTCCTCAGGGGCCACCCCCAGGGGCTCCGCAAGGCCCACATCCATCTGCACCCCAGGGGCCTCCTGGGCTCCCTCACCCTCAGATGCAGGGCCCACCACCGATGTCTCAGGGAAACTACATGCAGCAAGAGAGAAGGTATTCTCTGGTCAACCCAGCTGCCTTTGGGCCTCAGGGGCAGCCTGTCGTCCCAACCAGCCAACCTGTGGCACCATATCCCCCGGCAACTCTGCCTAACAACAGCAATAACACCATACCACCTGACACTACAGCAGATCCTGGCTCCAGGCAAACACCGGAGGGTCAGCAGGGGGAGGGGAAAGGTGAAACACAATCAAAATCAGCAGATACAGGCAGTGAAAACAAAGATTCGGCTACTTTTGAGCAGGGAGAATCATCTGCACCAAGGACTGGAAGTCCACAAGATAATCAACAGCTCAAATCTCCAGCAGCTGGAAAACAAGAGGGCAGCACTGACAGTAGTGGAGACAAAACAGAGGGACAAGACAGTCAGCCACCAGAAACATCAGATATTGCAGATAGAGAAGGGAAGACCCCAGTGACTAGGGAGTCCAACAGAGAAGACAGTTCAGGACCTCCACATGAAGGATCAACAACATCGACCACTCCTGGTGTTCCCACTTCCCACGCGGCTGGGACACCTCTTCCTCCCCATCATCCACAAATGCAGATTCCTGCCAGTGCTTCAGGTGTGCAAGTGCCCCAGATGCCATCACATGGGATGCAGAGATACCCTGCTCCGCACCGCTCTCAGATCCCACCCCAGTACCAGATGCCCCCGGGCAGCAGTGCTGGACATATGCCACCTGGAGTGGGGATGCACAGGATGCCCATGCACCACGGCATGCCCTCACAGATGATGGGTAACCCTCCGCACGGAATGGGCTCATCCCCGCATATGATGTCTCCACAAGTGCCTTACCACCACCCCCACATGTCCCAGGGGCAGTATGGGTCCATGCCCCCAGGGCAGGGGGGACCGGCCGTCCCTCACCCAGGGGTTAGCCAGGCCCACCCGGGAGCCCCCATGGGTGATGGCACATCCCCCTCACAGCCACCCAGGCAGGAGTCCCAGCTCGTCAAGCTACTGATGAGCCCACGTCTGCCGTCCGCCCCGCGCCACCTCCCAATGGGCCCCTCACAACCCCACATGCCGCCCTACGGCTCTCCCAGCCCCTACTACGGAAGACATCCCGAGGCAGGCTTTGCAAACGGCGTACAGAGCAGGTTACCGTTCAACATGGCCACCTCCACCCAACCACAGACTGCCACACCCATACACAGAGTAGCCAACCCAGCAGTGTCAGGATTTAGTACATCAACGTCTGCCGTAACCTCCGCATCCACAGAGGCGTCGTTGAGCACAGTAGCAGTCTCCGGTTTGATAGACGGAGATGATGACATCGGGTTTGACGACAAACCTAAACCCAAGCCAGTGGAACCGGCAGCGACAGAGGGCGACAGTAGATCAAGCAGCCCAAAAGAAATCCTAGACTTAGACAGCCAACCAAAACCTAAGCCTGCCATGTCAGCAGCCCCGCCTTTCCCATTCCATAGCCAATCAGGGGCCATGCCTCAGCCAATCAGCCAATCGCAAGCGTCGCCTCATCTGGTGAGCCAATTACAGCGAGGCATGAATGGACAAATGATGGGGAGTTACCCACGGCCTGGCATGCCCATGCAGGGCCTCCCACCCAACCACCCCATGTACAGGGAGATGTATGCACAACAAATGTATCAGGAGCAGCAGATGAAGAGACCCTACCCTCCTCAGGTAAACCTTCCTTCTGTTGCATTTCAGTCCTACGCTGCCTTAATCAGTTTCATGCTAGCTGATTTTTTGTCCCTTTGTCACTTGCTTTCGATTTCATCGTTGGTAGCAATTTAGACAGTTCTGATATTTGCAGTACAAAACTCCACAATGCTCAAATACACAATCAAACTCTACTACTGGATGAATTAGGGAGATGAGTCTGGGTGCTTTGAGTGACAACCATCACTCTTCTTCAGCATCACTAAATGAACTGAGAGAAAAAGTCGACACTACCGGTAATCACATGTGAAGGAACTGGAAAATACAGTGTTATCCTGTGAATTCACAATACTGTAATTCCCGTGAACCTAGTATATCCAGAGTCCAAAACAACTTTTGTTATTGAGTGCAGGGTTCCCTATGCCCTACGTATGTTTCACACTTCCACTTCATTTTCCGCAGTATCCAGCAGCTACTCAGTTCTCAGATCCCAAGCTTACCCCCCAGCCAACCACCATGAGCTACCCAGCAGCTAGCTACCAGCAGATCAGGAACGGCGAACTGCCACCACAGTGAAAGCATGCTATCTTCAGGTAAAAACTGCTTTCCTGTTTTATGTCCTCTGTGCCTTTATAGATATATGTTCCTAACTTTTCTTCTTACAATTGTTGCATTTTACATGTCTATGTTGAATATGTCTTCTGTGCACTTTGAATGATAAAGCCTGGCTTTTATATTAGCTTGGAAAGGACAGTCTTCATTTCTCTGTTATTCTAGACATATTGCCAACTTGATTAAATTATGCTTTTAGTAGGGAGTGGTAACATAGAGCCATTGACAGAGGGAATGGTCACCCAGACTCTAGACTAGAAACATTTGTATAATGTGAATACATTGTGCATATTCTGCGTTTTGTACAGGAGACTGAAGCTGATGAAATGTGCCTTAGTTCCAGCTTGGTCTCGCCATGCGATCAACCACCAACCTCAAGCTACCTCGATCTTACAGGGCTGATCTCAAATGTTCAACGTTTTCCAAGACAATATTACTCTGAAGCCAGAAGCTTTGCCTGTCTTCATGAGAAAGAATTGTAAATTGGTCCTTATTCAGTGTGGAAAGTTTTACTGATGCTCTCTAAGCATTGGAGCAACAAACACATTTTCTTCTAAGCATATCTGAACATTTGAGACCATCCCTCCCAGGATGCCTTCCTCCGGATTTTAAATGATATGCAACCAAGAAGTGAAGTCACTTTTTATGACAATATCGAGATGTGCACAATAGTTTACTGTTTTTCATGGTGTTACAAAGTATAAATTAGCAGAAAATTTAAGGAGATATACTTTTGGAAGTACTCAGATGTGGTGAATTTTATCCCCAGACGTGGAAATCTTTGTTCTATCTGTGGTGTATATGCTGTAGAGTTTGCGAAACTGTGAATTGCAAGTAGCTATGAGAGACAGTTGTAGTGGCCTTATAAGTCAGTAGGATGGAAAAATGTGCCAAGACGGGTGAAGAAGAATGCTATGTGATAACGCACAGATCTTAACAACAACTCTTAAAGTGAAATACTCTTCAATCCAGTGTTTTAGCAAACAAATTATTCCATTCTGTCTCTGCCACACATAAAGCTGTACTTTGCCATGACTTGTTTGTAGAAAATATTTGTATTCACTTCACCCATCTTGGCCTGAAAACTTCTGAACAAACAGTTACTCAACATATTCAGGGTATGAATGTCATCCATAGGTAGCAATACTGTCTATACATGTGATTGTATAAACAGGCAGGGGAAGTCCAACTTTGCTGAAGAAAGGAAACGTCTTACCATTCAATAAGGTATGATATATTACAAACTTTTTGGTTGTCAAACTACATTGTTATGGGTATTCTTTGCTGGGTGGGTGAGTTTTACAACCATATTTTATTGGAATTTAAGAAATGGATTGGATAAGGTATTCAGTTTGGAAGAAACAGGGATGGCATTATGATGTTGAATTCAGATAAAAATTGGAATTGCAGCAAAATTGGACTTTCCTGTCCTGGGTTAATCAATTTTTTTTTTGTTGCTGGCTACAATCGTTCTTTACTGTGTGATGAAATATTCCCTATCAGGGGGCTGTCAGACTTAATTTATGAAGATACTTGTGTCATCTTCCGGTGTTTTTGCCAATCTCAGCTTTGTACAGGATGCGAAATGTGTATATTTTGAAGTATGTTGTTCTTGGAGTATGTGCATTCATATGATTCAGAGCCCTTGGACGGGAATGCAGCTATGTTATCAGTGATGCCACCTAGCGATTTTCCGTGGAATTGTTAGGTTAGCTCTAGTTTAGGAGATCGGATAAAGATGGTGGGTGTTCTGTGTGTCATAACTATTTATTTGCATGTAGCTAGAATATGTAGAATAAAGAGAGACACAGTTGTAAATTTCTTGATTTCTTTTTTTTTTTGGTTTTCTATTCTGCTTTGCAGTTGGAGGTAATATAATTCCTGACTGTGGACTCAGGTGATTCAGGACTATGACAATGATTTGTATGCAGACAATTTAAGGACGTACAGCGCTTTGTCCTAATTTTCCAGTGTTACGGTATGAAATGGGATGCATAAACTCTTACCTCTGTCCTGGCTTGTGGTCTTTCGTGGTTACTTTATTCCACCAAAGCCTGTGTTCAACCTTTTTTTTTGTTATTGTTGATGTGAGGCACAAATAGTGTACAGTTTTTGTGAAGGTCAATAAATTCAATTCTATCAAAATATTGTCATGTTCTTTTTTCAAGATTTGCATCAACTGTATGAGAATGTGATTTGGTGGGGCAAGGGGACTTTATGTTGGCCGCCTGACTGAACATAAAGTCCCTTTGCCCCACCGAATCTGCTTGGAGATTAAGAAATTGTCCATCTATGAAAAACAACCTTCTAGATACAACTAGTACTGAGTTGCATATAAATCCATACTTTGTACCTTGTAGAATTGTTGTGTGATAACGTTTACATTCGGTATAATATAGAACCAAAGGAAAACAGCACTATTACATGTAGTTTCCTATGAAGTTAACAAAAAATTTCCAGGAAGTTACTGTCTTGCATGTACAAGCTAATATTCTCCTATCCCATCTTGATGCGGCTCGGCCATCTCCAGGCCGTCCACAGAGAAGCACTTCTTGTCCTTGCACACAGGGTAGCCCGGAGGACAGCAGTAGGTCGGACAGCAGTTCGGGTAGCCGTGGGGACAGCAGGCGTTCCTGCCGGGACAGCACTCGGCGTTCGGGTAGGGACAGCACAGGTACTCCGGCAAGGTCCGTTCCACGTACTCCACAAAGCGCCAGCTGTCCATGCAACAGGTCTCCACCTCCTTGCAGCAGGACGAGGAATTGCAGCTCCTAGGACGACAAAGGAGTTTAGCATAGCCACATTCATGAGGGCCTGCCAGGGGGGGTCCCGACAACGCTCTACGTAGAATTAAAACGGCCGATTACGCCCTACGGAAAAGGGCTTGCGGGCCCCCATTCATACCCAAACTTTTGATTGGTAATAAAGGAGTGGCTCGAATATCTTACTCTGTAATGTTGTTTTTTTACATACTAGTAGCTCTGAAATATTACGAAGAAAACCTTGGGAGGGGGGGGGGGATAAACTGTACGTAGTACACATGTACATCTACTGCCCATTACAATCATATATACGACCAATGAGATTACAAAAAGGAGTACTACAAGGGACAGTTCTGAAAAATATACATAATCGATGTGCAATTATTTACGTTATAATTGAATACATTGCCGTTTGAGGAAAATAGAATACCTTGTGAAAGGTTGGAAACAGGTGCTGCCCATCTTGACGTATTTCACGTCGTCCATGCATCTCTTCATGTTCCCCGGGTCGTAGTGCATGCACCACTCCGTCAGGGACAGGTCGTCTGCCGCGGCGTGCCAGTTCCCGATCCCCAGCCACGCCAGGAACGCGCCGAAGTAACCTTTCACATCTGAGGTACAACAGTAGGAAACATTTCATTTCATTTGTCTACCCAGGAACCACGTATCGCTAGCGGTCTGTCTTCAAATTCAGGGCCCTGTAGACGTACATAAGTAGACCTTAGAGTAATAAAAGAGCAAAAATATGAAAGGTACATACAACAGCAAACCAAGATGACATTTTTCTATTCGACAACGTAACTATTGTTGGACGACGTCGTCAACTGTATCTAGCGTTATACGTATCTTGATACTTCGTAGAGCCACGCGAGGAACTTGATTTTGACTCGGACAGTGAGATCAGGGCAAAGAAAAATGCACGCAGTTATCCAGCGATCATTGCATAGAGCACATTTCACAAGATATGACAATTGAAAGACAAAGGTGATGATAAAAACGTGATGACCCACCTGCATACCCCCACAGATAGGACATATCCACCAGCACGTTCTGCACGTTACAGCTCAGTTCGTCAAACCTGCTGAACGCCTTGCGTGCGTCAGACGTGGCCTGAGCTAGTGCCACCTTCAACAGCCTGGGAACAAAACGCATAGGAAGATACATAGTACAAAAAAATTTTATCAGGTTGGTAGAGCATAGGATTCTTTAACTGACAAGCAGTAAAGACTCTCACCTGCTTACGTTTCGATGCCTATCGGGGCATCTTCCTCAGAGCTTCTAACTAGAGTGATGAACCGGGACGAGGGGGGATACAAACTTAGCCACGTTTGGGACTGTGTTCTCGCCGTAAAAGCGCCACCTACGTCGGCTACATATATAGATAGCGGAGAAGCAACTTCCCAGGTTCTAGGTCTTGATTTTGGAAGACAATTTAGTTATCAATTTCAAGCGGTCTCTTGTTGTAATGATGATCGTCGTGTTCTCCATTTCTTTACTTAAATTTCTTACAAGCAATTAGCCTTCGTGCATGATTTTGCAAATTAACATTTTTGTATCATATTGCCAGGAATACCGATGATCATCTCAACTACGACACAAGCTTCAAGAGTTCGAAAATGCTGCAAAATGATGCTGCATTTTTGCTTGAATTTTATGTACGTGTTTGATGGGAGAGGAACTCACTGTGAAATCTGCTGCTCGCTGATACAGATGACGTCACTGCACTGACAGGCTGATCCGAAGGGCGTGGCTGGTCCGTTGTACAACTTGGTGAAGTTTACACCGAGATTCGCTATCACCTATGTTCAAAGAGTGTGTTCAATGTTCAAAATCAGGAAAAGGTCCATATTCATTTTGCAACAAATCCATTCACTCGCTCGCTCGCTCATTCATTCACTCAATCAATCACTCTTACTCACTCGCTCGCTCGCTCACTCACTCACTCGATCCGGATCCAAGCCGGATCAAAGCGAACCTACTCGGCTCGATCCGGACAATTCTATCCTAGTGGGAAAAGAACGTATATATGTCTGCTTTAAAACTTGTTGGAAATTCTGATGTTGCAAACGATGATGTACACTAATCATGATATCTGTTCCAACTAAGAATCAGATAAAAACAAGACATAAGGTACTACAATCGAGCTAATTTCGATGTAGCTAGATCTGAATTTGGTTAGAGTTAATTGTAACTCTGTATGATTGTTGTATATACATGTATCATGTATATGCATGGTTCTGTCGACGAAAAATGGAAATTTGGAATGGTAAGTTTCTAAAGGTTGCCATAATACCATAACCAATACAATAAAACAATAAAGCAGGTGAGAACTACATAAAAACCTTGGATCACCACTGAACTACTAATACTGGAGGCGATCAGATTGATTGCCGAGCCGGGGTCTGGCACCCAGGCTACCTTTGTAGCGACGATCAAGTTGAGAGACTGAACATACAAACCATTACTGCATACCTTTTTGGCATCAGCTCTGTCTAGGCCATATCCGAAGCCTATTTTCCTGGCTCCTGTAGGGTCTATGTACATACACTCCTTCTGTCCCTCGTGGTACTTAATGAGAGGCGCCGGGTCACAGTTCTCTTTTCCTCGGGCGGAAAGGCCTGCATCGCCGAGAGAATATCCACCGACGGCTTGTTGATTCAGCCCGAGAAAGACCGCGATTAACTGAACCCAGCAAAACTTTTCCATGCTTTATAAGGCTACGTACGTTCCTAATAACTAACAGACAAAACGTCTGATACACACTTCGAGAGTAATGAGTGGAAATGAAGTGAAAATGCAGCCTTTATAGCTTTCAGCAGGTATCTGATGCCATGATCAGTGGCACCAGCTGTTCATGTGATAGTCTTACTTCCGCCTGAGCCAAGCAAAGTGACGTAGTGCCAGGATGAAAAGTTCGCCGACCCGCGACAAGAAGCAGATGTTGGAACTCAGATAAACCTCCGAGGGTTCACCAGGCAGAGATGTCACAAGGCAGACCTGTACATGTGACAAGGTCAATGCCTACTTCAGTTAAAGAGACTCATATAAAGGACTGCTTTGTTATTAGAAAAAATCCCGAAACTTGTGATTAGCCCACTCGACTGTAACGCTTTATCAAAGACTTGTGCACGCCCTTATTGTTTGAGTAATTAAGATACGTTACGTTTTATTTGACATTAAGTCTTATTCAACACATTTATTGTATTTTATTTTTTGTTACTTTCTCTATGTAGTTTGCCAAACATTGTACCATGTGCAATTGTCGTGCAATAAAGCTCTTTTTCTGCCTAAAAAGAAGAAGTCAAACCCAGTAAATCTAGTACCATGCATGTTGTAGAATATAGTATAATGGCCTATAATGCTAGACGTAGATATAGTGTCACATACCACTGTATTTTCTTTCTTATGTTGTTTGTAACTGCAATTAGCCCTCGGGCATGTATTTGCAATAAACTTTCAATTATATAGAGAGTGTATATAGTGGTGTGGCACATTTTATGGCAAACAACATGTGCTAACCTTTTGAGAATTATGAACATCGTTTTCCACTCAAATGCTATACGACTTTTCTCAGACATATTTACAGCACGGATAAGTGTCATAACCTGTTAGTATAATCTTCTCTCCTAATCCGCTTGTGACCGGGGGCCCCACGGACAAGATCATGGACGGATTAAGTCTATGGGACGGACTGGAGCTATACTTAGACTCTACTTTAGCAGTACATGAATGGATATATACCAGGCCGTTACAGAGTGGCAATTGTTTTGCAAGCAAAGCAAAGCTTACATTTCATTTCATATTGCTGGAAGAAATGATAACTTATAAGGGTTAAAATCGGGGCTGGCCAGAAGACTCCTTCTGATCTGCTATGCTTCTATCTATTGAGTGCAATTGAAATATATTATGCTCCAATGATAATATGTTCTTTCAAATGCGTAAAGTTGTACTTGTCACGGGACGTAACGGATGTCTGTCCATGATGATTACTGAACCCTGCGTCGGACAGATTTCATACATGTACTTGTCATCCGTCTTGTTGCCAGGGCCAGTTGTTCTGACCACAGATTTCAGAGCACGCCTATTTAAAACGATTGATGAAGTCCCTTTTAAGTTCAAGTATGCCTTTGAGGGATTGATTTTTATCACTTACATAGTACTTTAATATTAAATAGTGGGGGGAAACAGCCACTCAGTTGATCGAATTGAACTGAAGGGAAGAGGAGCGTTTTCCTTCAGTATGGGGCGTTTTCACAGCGCCTTCCCTGTGTTCTAAAGCAAACAACTTCATCCATATGCATATACATGTATAAAGTGCAAATAATGCAAATATAAAAATCACACACAGAGCTTGGGGCTACATGATGAGAGCGACGTTGCTTCCACACACGTGCACATCGAATGGACTTTCCCTCCAGGCGGCCTGGGGACTTGAAGGCATTTCGGGACTGTACATTTTTGGTGGCCATCATAGATTTGTAGTGGAAGGACAGTGTGCGCTTTTGAATTCCGATTTTGATTTTGTTTTGTACCTCATCTTTTAGCAAATAAACTGTGTTGGTCGTCCCATTGAAAGGGTTCGGTCCTGATCTTCGAGATTTGGCTTGGCAGAGAAAGAAGATATCGTTGTTTGAGACCAACGGCCCATCCCTCATGTTCCCGCGGAGCAGAGGTTGTTGGACACGGCGAAGCCACGCCCATGAGATCCAGGCCTGACCCTGACTCTTGCTAAAAGGCAGAAAAACAACTCAACCAGCGATTCTAACAGTCTGTCTCTGATAGCAGCGAAGTTAAATATAGGTGGACTTTCCCAGTCTGCAAGCGAGTTTTGGGGTCCTTGCGGCTAAGTTGAGGTTAGTAAGGTCAACATAATAGTTTGATTTCGAGCTTTATCGGTGAGATTTTTAGATGATCAGCTAGCCAAGCCCCTGAGCCATGTTGTTTTGTTTACAGGCAGACAAGAGCTCCTTGATATTGAAAACTCTCAAATGCCGCGATCATTGTAGGACTTGGCGTTTGATCTTTTGTTCGAATATGTCTGAATAGAAGCTGTGCAGTTACAGTTTAGTAAGTTAATGCTAAAATTTTATTCTTACAAATTTGCAGATGGGTGTTACAGAAGAAGATCTAGAACTAGTAGTAGTAGAAGTGCTTCTCTTCTTTCTTCGAATAGTCGCAACGGCTTGGTGCCAGATACACAGCCTAAGTGTTATGAAAAGTGTGCCAAACTATCTATTAGCCTCCACCAGCCCTTCCTACGGGGGTACGGATACTATAAGTAGAATTCGGCAAGAAGGGAAGAATAGATTTGGTCAGAAGAGAATTTAGTCCACGGGAGGGTGACTCCCCCGGCCACAAATTATGCCAAAACTCCGATGGCCATCAGTCATTCTTCCAATTTGGCTAAAAAAAGCTGTCATTCTTCAAATTTGGCTAAAAAGGCTGTTTTTGAACCCTTGTTGTTTTGGCGGGGACTTCATAGAGCTGTCAACAGACAAATGGCAGTATTGGCCTGGGACCAGTGGCTGTTGTTTGCCCTGTGATAATTTAGTATTCTACAGTTTACTTGACCCAGTTGCTAGACCCAGAAACTAGTTCTATAAGCCACTTACATTTATACTATGCAGTAGTATTGAAGCTTTGGTTGTCAGTGGGGACTTGGGCTTGCCAAGGAGCATTCCAGGACCCCTTCCAGCCCAAGGCCATTATCATCAACATAATGTTTCCAGCAGTATTTATGTGAGGGGAGGAGGCACATACTTCTTGGTCTTCCATTGAGTGAGCTCTCCTGTCTCCTGGGATTGAGGTTTATTATTTCTGGGAGAAGGATATCGGTTTAGTTTGGGGACCAACCATTAACTATTTGAAGATGGATTGAGGGAGAACTGTTATGTGAGTTTTGAGGTGAGGTATTGCCTCATGATACCATAGTTAAACTTGAAGTTGATGGTCAGTAATTTTGAAGATCTCTTGTATCAACTTTTTGGACATTCTTTTTTGAGAGCCCGCATGCCATTTTTCGTAAAGTGTATTATAAATCAGGCCTTTTTAGTCTTTGTAATCCATAGACAGCTGCTCAAAACATCGTACAGTGTGTATTACGTAATCAGTAGCATGTAATTGTTCATAAGAGCTCTGAGACCTAAATGTAATTCGTAATTTTGCATAATTTCCAATCACTACCCCCCATGCAGGCCCTCTTTTTTGTTTTTCAGGTGACAAAATGGCTTCCAAAGTTGAAGAAACCATTCCAATGGCTCCAACAGCAGCCCCACTACAGCAACAACAGCACGTGATCGTGGTGGAACCCAGCGACACGGGCACCACGCCCTGCTGCTGCTGCTGTGACGACGGCTGTACAGAGGAGAGCGCGGAGCGCGGGAACTGGTCCTGTAACTTTGAGTCCATCCTGGCCAGTGTCGGCTATGGTGTTGGTGCGGGATATCTGTGGGCGATGCCGTATCTTATTTACCGGAACGGAGGCGGGTGGTAACGCTATTATTTCATGTATTTCCTTGTTTCTGATTTCCTTGTTTCTGAGATATTTTAAGTAAAAGTTAAGTAAAGGGATAAGGTGAAAACAGATTTCAGGAAGTAAAACTTGCAATCTGACTATATTTGTTCCCTTTGGCTTTATGTGTCAAGTTGACTTTTCTCCCAAACTTTGTTTTCCTGTTCATCTTTAGTTCACCATCATTTTTTAACATTCCTGAACCCGAGCTTACTAAAGCAAAACCTATTCAGCCTATGTAGGTAAATATATGATGCTCATTGCTGTAGATGTACAACTTGCCTGCTCTGTGTCTTCTTTACCTCACCAGGTTTCTTTCTCCTTGCGTACTTCTTCTCGCAAATTTTCGTCGGTTTCCCCATTGTTTACCTGGAGATGGCACTGGGACAGTACACGTCACAGGGACCGATCCGTGCATGGAGAGGGGTGCCCATACTGCAGGGTAAGTCGCATTCAGCCATCCCTGAATAACATCCGGTTTCCATTGACTCGGAGGTGGTGTGGTTGTTGGGAGATATTTAAGCCATGGGTGTTGTCAGCTGGATGGATCATAGAGTTGCTACAGTACTACCAGGTGTGGAAGTTTTGTTTTAGGTGGTTGAGTTGTTGGTGTGTGTACAAAAATGTATCTGCTTGTCCTTTAGTTATTTGCCAGGTGGGTGATTTTGACAGTTGATTGACAGGGAAGTCTCCAGGTAACCTAGCATGTGCCATGACGTGGAAGTAAGTGGGCAGTATGTGGAGGAGTTCAGAAGTGGTGTAATACAAATGTACCTGATTAAATTGCAATCCCCTTGTTCAATTTGACTGTTCAAGAATTTTTTCTTCATGTGTATTTGACATTGGTGCTGCATTGATGACCTTCCACCCCTTGCAGGAATTGGGGTAGGCATGGTGGTTATGTCTGCCATCTATTGTATCTACCACAACAGCCTCTTGGCAGAGATGCTATACTACATGTTCTATGTGCCTGGGGACCTGAGCAGTACAGCATCATGTGACAACTACTGGAACACGCCAAATTGCAGTGAGTTTCATTATGATTGACTGAGAGCTGAATCACAGTCAGTATACAACCTTTAGTCTAAGAAGTAGTCTTGATCAGAATAACATTGCTGGCTGAAAAGTAGTAAAATCTAGCCAAATAGGGAGTACTAACAGTTGAATGTTCCTAGGATTTCAAAACTGAAAATAGCATAATGAAACAAGGCTCAAGCAAAATGTTCTGAAGTTCAAGACAAATCTTTCTTTTGCAGAAGTAATGTTACTGTACGTAATGGTAGTATTGTTATGCCTTAGAAGCAGCTTTGATTGCATGGAAGCCACTGTGGATTATTAATCAAATCTGTTCAGTGAGTGGATGTGTTGAGGAGGTTCAGGAGTATGACTATAATGAACCATACAACTTCACACACCTGATTTGCGGTGGTCTGGAGACCTCAGCAATGGAGTACAGAAAGTAAACAATGAAAATACCTACATTTGCTGCTCATGATTGATTATTCTGTTTTGCTGACAAAGGTGTGTGTGTCTGTGTGTATGTGTGAACATGATAACTTGAAAAGGCTTTGATGGATTGTCTTAATATGTGGTAGGTTGGTAGGTATTGATGAGACTTTAGAATGATTAGATTTTGGGCCCCCTGGCAGCTTGTTATGGTACTGCAACAGAACTTCTGATTTTGGCAGCTTGTTTGGGAACTGCAGGGGCATTTGTTGAAAATGTTTGAAGTAGGATAACTCAAGAACCGTTTGATGGATTGTCGTTCTTTATGGCATGTATATAGCTTAAGTGATGCTTGACATAATTAGATGACAATTATGCAAATGAGAATCTAATTTACATAATTAATGACAAAATTCTTTAAATCTGCTTCATTCCATGATAGGACATTTCAAAATTGTGAGGTCGTGAGCACCAGCATGGAGGACATGGGGGCAGGAATGCAATGTGGTACTTTTACCTAATTTCCCTTACTTAAATTTTGACATTTTTTCAATCTACCAGCAATTATGTCCTCCAACTGAGTGAAGGTATCCACAACATGGGAGCTGTGCGAGGCCCCCTAGCAGGATGCCTCTTCCTTGCATGGCTACTGGTGGTGCTTGGTCTCAGCTTTGGTGTCAAGTCTCTGGGAAAGGTTGTATTACCTTTCAGTTAACCTTTAAATATATATTGTATTTCTGGATGCCCCATAGGGGGAAAGAATAACATTTTCCCTGATTTCTGATATTCTTTTTTTTTTGCCATTCTTATCCTGGCAATGTACATAATAGTACGATAAATCACTTTATGCACATGGTAAGAAAAGTTCGCAGTCTGAGAAAAATGTACATGTTTGCAGAACTATAGGTTCATGGTGCAGCAAAAAGAAAGCTGGCAAATTATTTGTTCACAGTTATTATAAGTTTGCGATACAGACTGCGAAAACTGCAAATCTAAAAGTACCATGAAAAAATCATGATTTACAGTACAAATTACCCATATGGTCTAGTGGTTAGGATTTGGCGCTCTCACCGCCAAGGCCCGGGTTCGATTCCCGGTGTGGGAACCAGTGTAAGAAACCAGGAGGAGACAGTAGAAACAGATAAAAACCCCTTGGTCCCGGGCCGGATTTGAACTCACGGCTCCCGGGCCACAGTCAGATGCTCCAACTGAGTGAGCTAAAAGGTCTAGACCCATTGGCTGGGTCAGTTGGTAGCGCCTATAAACCCCCAACTGTTACACAATGTACATATTTGCAAAAGGCATTGTTCCTTCACTTTTGAGCCATATTACAAATGAATAAATGAAACTGTGTATGGTGGTAGCTTATAAACATTCCAGATCCCCGAAAGAGTGGGTCATATCACAGCTTCTCAGCAACTCAAAGGAACACATTTTGATTTTATTCCTTGTTATTCCAGGCTGCCTATGTCACAACTCTTCTGCCCATGTTTTTCACCATCGTCATGTTCCTCCGTGCTGTGACTCTACCCGGAGCAACTGATGGGATTGCTTTCCTGCTGTGGCCCGCGCCGACACGGGTAAATTGTCATACCATCATTTGACTAAAGATTGATGTTGCTACATGTGAGCAATGATGAACAACAGGAAGTTATTAATGTTATCTGATCTTTTTAGGCTGAAGACTATAATTTACTAATCGAAGAGTCCGAACTTTAAAGTATATTTGGACAGAACAAAAACTAGAAATTAAAAATAAAAAACTTTTAGCTTCTTGGATTTGCATACCCGGTAGTTGTGGTTGTCAACAGTTTTTTTCAAATCATGTTTATGCCTTGTATTTACAGAGTAGTTCTTATTTCTACACTGTGATAACGGCCATTGTTCACCGATTGAGCCTGGGTCATGGAGGTTACACAACATTGGCTTCCTACAACCGTTTCCACAACAATGTCCTCAGGTAATGTTGATGTTACTGTACAGCAATCACAGGTAACTCACTTACAACACCTCATATTTAGACTAACTAAAATGGGGGAGACATAGTTGACAAGAAAGCTGTTTCTTATCATTTCTATTTTTTGGGGAGAGTCCTATGTTCTGATGACGCCCCTATGCTCTGACACCCGTGTTCTGACACCCCTATGTTCTGACACCCCTATGTTCTGACACCCCTATGTTCCGACACCCCTATGCTCTGACACCCGTGTTCTGACACCCCTATGCTCTGACACCACTATGTTCTGACACCCCTATGCTCTGACACCACTATGTTCTGACACCCCTATGTTCTGACACCCCTATGCTCTGACACCCGTGTTCTGACACCACTATGCTCTGACACCACTATGTTCTGACACCCCTAAGCTCTGACACCACTATGTTCTGACACCCCTAAGCTCTGACACCACTATGTTCTGACACCCCTATGCTCTGACACCCCTATGTTCTGACACCCCTATGTTCTGACACCCCTATGTTCTGACACCCCTATGCTCTGACACCCCTATGCTCTGACACCCCTATGTTCTGACACCCCTATGTTCCGACACCCCTATGTTCTGACACCCCTATGTTCTGACACCCCTATGTTCTGACACCCCTATGTTCTGACACCGGTGCTCTGACACCCCTATGGTGTCATGCCCCAATGTTTCAACATCCCTACCATCCAACATAGGGTTAGGGTTATCGAAACATAGCTTGAGTAAGTTGAGTTGTTATAGATATGTAACCATATTTTCACAGGTTTAACGTTGTATCATATAAACTCTGCCTTTTCCTCCCCCAGGGACGCAGTTCTTGTCATCCTCATCGATTTCCTAATGGTGTTGTTTTGTGCGGTGACGATTTTTGGATTCCTGGGTTTCCTCGCACATCAACTGGGGGTGGACATTAGTGAAGTGGTCACCGCAGGTAGGAAAAGTGCCAAATATCCACTAGATGTCGTACTGTCATCACCACGTATCTCCCACCACATGCTCCCAACATTACTGGGCATTCCAATTGAAGCTATGAGCAGCAAAATGACTGTGATCCATTTATTCATTCACTGTATCTAAAAAAGCTGGCTATTTCAGACAACAGGGGTATTTGTGACTTTATTTTGGTTTTGGGTTTTTGTGACTTTCAAGATCACCCCATTTTTTGTGTCTGACCTGCTGACTCCTGTTATTCTGCCTGTAAATCACATGCTGTAAACCTACAGTGTACTCTTAAGTTCACCCCATTTTCTGTGTCTGACCTTATTGACTCCTCTATGACTCCTCTATGTCAATTCTGCCTGTCAATCTTCCCCCACATTGTAACAGGTACAAAGTATGGCAGATAATAAGATTACTAGCTGGTATGGTTCAAAATTCTACATATAGGTTCAACGGGTACTATGTCTGGCATAATGTTGAATAAATTACTACATGTACTGACTAAGAACTAGTACACCTCTACAAGTATGTTCTATTAGCTACTCTATACTATATTTATAAAGAGTACAATGAGCAGTTGTATAAACTATACAGGTTTTATGAGTAATATACTTCTTAAAGTGTTAACGATATGATTGTTGACTTCCTACCCTGCAGGGCCTGATCTTGTCTATGTTACCATGGTGACGGTATTTTCGCACCTCCCCGTGGGGTCGTCCTGGGCTGCTCTGTTCTTCCTGACCCTGGTCCTGCTGACGTATGGAAGTCAGGTCAGTGGTTGATTTACCGATATACACATGGACAAAAACCTGACAGTATGAAAACTGTGTACACACCTGACTGTACGAAAACTGCACACCAAACAGTCACAGTTCTATTCGACATTACTTAGAGGGCTGTCATATGATCTGAATGTCAATGCAGGCCGATTTATATGCAGGAAAAATTTGACCTATGCAGTTTTCGTTGCGTGCACAGTTTTGTCCTGTCAGGTTTTTCCCATATGTAAAGCGGGTCATAGATACTAATAGTATGGTAACGTGGGGATGGAGTTTCAAACCTTGGTGAGATGGACAGACATATTTCTTACACCAATGTTAAATGCTGTATACAGGTATTCTAGCAAATTATGCATTTCATGTAAAGAAGCATGTGCTTTGTAAACATGTCTTTTTGACATACATGTAGTTGTGACCCAGGCTGACTGAGCCTGTCTTACTTATTCTGATGGATTGAGGGACAGTACAAGTTCATGTTAATTACAGTGGCTGAAAGAATTTCTTGAAGGTTTCCTGTTCTAGCATGCATATTCAAACCAATACCATACATGATCATGTCACACAAACATGTTATGTTCATCATTAGTGTAGAGATGGTAATATTTAGAGAAAACACAAAGTCTGCTTCAGTTTTTTTTATGACACAAAGTGATTAATGTCAGCACTCGTGGTTAAAATATTTCGGCGACCTATCTTTCTTCCCCAGCTTGTTCTGGTGGAGACTGTCATCACTTCCCTGATGGACCTCATCCCTGAGGGACTGATCAAGAACTTCCCAGGCAGGGAGTCTGGGCTGCTGAGTAAGAGGACGCGCCTCCACGGTGTGATGACTGCTGCCGTCTGCTTCCTGTTCTTCCTGTTAGGACTGCCCTACGTCACACAGGTGACAGCTCTACTTCACATGCAAATCATAATGATTGAACGCTAAGACCCTGTTCATACCAGACTTATATAAACTGGTTGAAACCGCTAAATAATTAACCCGGCAAAAACCTGTCGCGTTCACACCAGACTTACAAAACCGGTTTTTCAAAAACCCTGTCCAGCGAATATCCGGTTAATCGGCCATTACCAGGCTCCTCCAACATTTTTGTTTCGGTAGAGACCTCAATAGAGCCCTCCCCCCAGCTTTTTCGAATTCGGCGATCAACTCCTGCTCTCCAAAAATACGTATCGGGAGCGTCTCGTCCACCGACCAGGTTGCATTGGCTGATTCCATCGTAAAAATGAAGAGAAACCGTGGAAAAACAGTGGAAACAGTCTAAACAGCGCGATCAAAAAAGCTTTGGAGGTCGCACACGGCCAGGATGCTGACCCCGTGACCCCAGAATTATGACGCAAAAACCGGTTCAATAAACCCTTAGCGTTCAGACCAGGTTTTTCGGTGGAAAAACCCCTCAAAAACTCCCAAGGTGGTTTTTGAAAATCGGATTTAAACCCCTAAAAAACCGGTTAATTTGCGTTCACACCAGGTTAAATAAAAACCAGTTTTTGAAAAACCGGTTGAAACCGCTAAATATAAGTCTCGTATGAACAGGGTGTAAAAGAACCCCTTAGGAGGTTAGAATCAAGCTCGTGATTTTAACATCCTTGATAGAACATAAACTATTTTGGGATTTTCTTATACACATACCAGTTGTTCCTTCACCTTTCTTGCATTTTGAGGTCTATCAGACACCTTCTACAGAGCTTTTGACTGGATTGCTGCTTCTCACCGCTATCTACAAATGTATAGTTAGCACTTTTGCGGCAAGAACTTAGCCACATTTGGCATTGTTTTCTCATCACAAAAAGCACCACCTATGTTGGCTACTTAAATATTGCAGTGAGAAGCAGCACTCCAGTCAGAAGCTCTGATAAAGGTGTCTGATACTCATAGACATGATAAATAGACAAGGGAAGATAGCTACTGGTTGTGTGTGAGAGACGATCTCAATATCCTTAATGATTAAAGTCTGGTGGCACAATGTGTGTTAGGCTTTAAGTTAGAACAGTCCATATTGAAGTCACAGATTTAGAGTTGTAATTTGATCATCTCTCAGCCCCATATAATACCCTAGTGAATATTCATGCCTAAGTGGTCCTTATACCTCTAATGTACAACAGTGTGAGCTCTGAGACTGACAGTTATGTATCTGAATGGTAAACATTTTGCTTACAACAGGGAGGAGTTTACCTTCTGACTGTGGCAGACAGCTACAACGCCCTGATTCAACCCTACATCTTCATCTTACTGGAGTGCGTGGCACTCACCTACCTATACTGTGAGTAACAGTTACACATGTACAGTCCTTAAAAGCATTCAATGCAATTTCAGGATGGCAACACAAAAATATTCTGGATGAGGAAATCTGTCTGATATTGACATTTACTGACATTTGATAGCACATTTTCGTCATCAGTTTATAGTTGATGCATTTGGAACAGCCTAAAAATAAGCAATGTGAGGAATCCCTTCATTTCCAGATACATTCTACAAATGTAACACCAACTAGAGTTCCACGATCTCATACCTTCGCCAACTGATGTTAGCCTTTATGACTAAGAAATTATAGATTAATCCCCCTGATTGTGCGAATAGGATCCTATATTGCATCAATTATATCTGTTGATCATATTCTACACCAGAAGACAGTCTTATCTTATCAATGCATGCCATTATAGCATGTCCTCATAAATTATGCAAATGAGGTCCTTATTTGAATAAATTATGTTTAATAATGTTCACCTTCAAATAACTTTCAAATATCCCAAGTATGAAATTCCAGACATTACCACTATGTAATTATAACATTTTCTCGTTAATTATGCAAATTGAGTCTTCATTTGCATAATCGATATCTGCCTGTATTTCTGCCGTTCTGCATTACATATATCACAAGCTTGAATAGTCCTATCATGGAATGCAGCTGATACTGTAAATCCATTTAAAAATGCGGTTGGAAATTATAGCGGTCGGCGAAAAATGGACAACCTCACGTCACTTAATTATAGCGGTGTGAACATGGCTGATGTGTGTAAAAAAATACATTAAAACGCTGGCCTTTTTTTTTTAAGAAAATAAAAAAAGCAGTTTACGCCAGCGAAAATCGATTTTTACAAAGAAAAAACAAAACAGGCACGCCGATGGTGTCTGGAAGTAAATAATCTACAAAGTACTGTAGCGGCGCGGTGACTTCAGAAAGTTCGTAATTACGCACGCTTGTGTTGCGTGCGGCACCGCCGCCCCCCTCCCCAAGCTCCATGCCGCTGCACGCCGCTACATGTCCGGCGCCGCAGACGAGCTTACAGCGAAACCTGGCGTCTTCGACCTAGGATTGGAGCGTAATGGAATCCATGACGCCCTCGAGAAAGTTCTACAGACACTATAGCCTTTAAACAGTAACGTTTAATCGTATTTTTTGCCGCAAAAGTTGACTCGCAATTTTCGAAAAACTTGTGACGCCATTTTTTTCACTCGGCGCTTGGTTCCCAAATTTTCGACTCGTCTTAGTCGTAGCACGCTATTAACGCTTTTACATTTTGTAGTACAAATGAAGCTTAACATTTAATTGTATTTCTACCTAGATTTCTACCTCGAAATTAAGCAGATTTATGCCGCATTTCTCGTAGTTTGTAACTCGTTTCTGGAGTTGGCCGCCGGGCCGCCATTTTGTTTGTTGTTGTCTGCACGCTTGGGCGACGCTGAATTTTGTAACTCGTCTCATTTTTTTCGATATTGTCCCGTACTAGCACAAAATGAACGGCTATCGTTTCTGTAAATTTATGAAGAAACTTCTAAATCGAAGTATACGCTAAATATTTATAAATACCCAAGTGTAGATAAGCTGGGAAATTTCAAAGCGTCACTGCGTCACATGTGTTTGTGCATGTTCACAAGATTTTTTTTTACCGTGGTTTGCTTAGCACTGCATACTTGTTAAAAATATGAACTACTTTATGTTTAATAAATATTTTATTTCTGGAAGCACATCAGTGTTTTGCTTGTTCCTATGTGAAGCACTAGTACTGTGCGTTGTGTGCATGTTGTAGTCAAGAAATGAAGCGTGATTGCGATCGTACCGTAACGAGCTTGGGGCAAGAGGGAGGGGGGCTGAAGTGGTAAAAAAAGTTGCGATCATGAAAATTTAGCGGTGGAATAGTGACCGCTAAAACCGCTATAATTAAGTGACCGTTATCAAATCAAGAATTACAGTATATAGAATTTCCTCATTAATTATGCAAATTACATTAATATTTGCATAATTGTAATAACATTATGTCAAGCATCACTTCAGCTACCTACATGCCAAAAATCACGACGATCCATCAATTGGTTCTTGAGTTATCCGCCTTTAAACATTTTTCAACTAATGCCCCTGCAATTCCAGAGCAAGCCACTAGGGGGTCCAAACTCACGTCACTTGTTCCCCAGCACAAGAGCTACCTACCATCCAAATTTCGTCACCCTAGCATGTCTAGATCACGAGATATCAAAACCGGAAGTTCAGCTGCAGTACCATAACAAGCCGTTAGGGGGCCCAAAATCTAATCAGTTCCACATCTCATGAAGACCTACCCACCTACCAAGTATCAAGACAATCCATCTTAGCCTTCTTGAGTTATCGTGCTCACACACACACACACACACACACACACAGACACACGAACGCCAACGAAAACATAACCTTCTTGGCGAAGGTAATAAATAGCTTCAACTAGTCTACATATGATATGAAACAGGCAACGTCAGCGAAATCACTTTTTTTTGTCTCACAGATATCGTATCAGTATACTACTGTATAATGCAAGATTGAATCAATTTAGATTTTCAAAGTTAATTATAGATAACCAGACAATTGACATTGAAAATTCAGTTTTACTGCCCTAAAATTGCTTTGAGTATAATGTTATTTCCTTGGCACATGACAAGACAAGGCTCTGATTTGTGGTTTTGTCTTTTACTTTGATGCAGTGATGTATTTCATTCCTTTTATTTGTGATGCTCCCACTGAATCCAAACCATTTGTACAATGATTGAAAATTTTTTAATTTTCAAAGTTGTTTCAGTGAAAAATGGATGTTGTATTATAGTTGGCAGTAAAGTCAGCACAATATAGGTATCATTTCTTGTTTAGCAAGGTTTACAATGTCAAAAGTTGAAAATGTAGGAATCTTGTTTGTTTGGCCCACCTTGTTTTTTTTTCTCCTTATCGCATTAGATTTGAAGCGGAGGATGTCAAGTTGTCAAGCATGAAATTTACTTGCTGTTGCCTTAAATAGTGTAATGCATGTAAGATTATAACACTTATGTTTGTGTCAGCCCCGAGTTGTCAGCTCTGCTGCCCAGCGCTCAACCGCTGGCTGTCTGACCTGAGCCACATGCTGCAGCACGTCTGCTGTTTCTGCTGTGCCACCATCGTGAACGGGATGACAGCAGTGGCCTGGGTGTACTACATCCCCGTGGTCATGTTGGTCAGTATAACAGCCATGATCTGGTCTATTTGTAGACTTGGAAATAGAGACATCTTTTTTTAGGTTTAGGTTCTCTGTGATCTCACAAAAACCTCTCTTTCTCCTGTTGTGGTCAAGCTCACCTCCAAACAGCTGATCTAAAAACACAGCTGATCTGACAGTATTAGTGAAGCACATTGATTAAAATGGTTAGGCTTTCTTGCAGTGTTGACTGAAACATGAGTATGGGGCTCTCCATAGGTGGCACGCTACCCTTCCACCCGTGTCTAAAGACAAACCATTACCGGTGGTGAAGGGTTTCGAGGGGTGTCAGTTTGATTGTTTACATAATGTTACATTTGATTCTGTGGTGTCACATTTGATACAATGCAACCAGAAATTTCATAACTGCCAGTTTAGCAACATTGTTTCAACCTGCAATGAACTTACTAGTAAGCAGTTCTCCATTTCAGTCCTCTAACAGGCTTACGATATTCAAATGGTAGGAAATATAATGACGGATTTTAGATGTTATCATGAGAAATTTCATGTTCCTAAGTGTTACATTAACACTCGATATTTAAAATATTTCATTTTTATCCCCCAGGCACAGATCATAATGGGACCCTTGCTTTGGTGGCCACATGACCTGGGGTACCTTTCCTACATCTTTCCACGCTGGACTGCCATCCTGGGACACTTCATCCTGAGCATCAGTCTCATCATGGTCCCCCTGGTTACTCTTGTCAACATCATCATCGCACTGGTCAGGGTTTTTCTGTCTCCTTCTAAAGCAAACTTTGAAGAGGGAGGAGGGTCATTACTACATGTAGCATCAATGATTCTGCCAACTTCTGACATAGAAGTAGAAGTAGTAGTAGACTGGTTTATTGGACAAAAGTATACGTATATCTACAACATAATGTACATGTACATGCCTCATAGCAGCCCATATTTGACGGCAGAATCGTAAGGCAGTTTAGAATTAGACAGGGCTCAAAGTACTTTTTTTCGGGTATGTGCAAAATTGCACATTGGCAAAAATTTTAGGTGCAATTTGAAACATCTACGTGCAAAATTATAATTAGTCGGTTCACAACTGTTATATTGTGTGTTAAAGGCACTCTATGTAGTTTTTTGCGCCAAAAGTTGGAATATTCTGATTATACTAAATTTCAGTGTTATTAACAGTTACTATCACTTTTCAACACATTTGTGTCATTATTTCACATTTTTTACGTATATTTTGTCCGTTCAAACAGTCCTTCTTGGGTACCCGGTGCCACCGGTTTGCTCAGCACAACAACAACAACAACATACAGGGGTTGCCCCCTAGGGTGGCTAATTGACCGGCTTGCCAGGCTTGATTGACAGGGGCACATGTGACAAGATATACTAGTAGCCTCCTTAGAAAAACACTCATATCTTTCACATGAGGTCTGGTGGAATATAATTATCAACTTGGAGTATTTTGTTGGGCATGAATAAACTGTGGTCATTATTCCTTCAAAAGAGATAAAAAATCTGGTAAACGGTTAGGTATTTCAGAAACTGGTAAGCTATCAACTGACACCCCACTGGGATGTAGGTCAAACCACTAGCAGTGGACAATACAATGTACCATATGTGCGGTTTGGCCAGAGGTTGTATAGAAGATCATTCACAGTTTTCTAAGCTTCTAAGGAGCAAGGATGTTGTATTTTTTGTTGAGGAGTATGATTTTGGAATACTAAAGGGTTAAGTCAATGTACTATGTAAAGAAAAGAATGAAAAATATACTTTTTGTATTGTCAAAAAACTACATAGAGTGCCTTTAACCTTCTTAGCCTGCTACAGCATACAGGACTTTATGTATAAGAGACCAAACATGAACAATGCTAGTACGTGTATTTATTTGCCTATTGCTCAACTGTAATACATAGGTATAGAGACTTCTGCTGAATGGCCATGTTGACAGATTAAGATAGAATAAGATACTGATATCTCTGGCTGAGAGACATGATTATTGATTGTGCATGTGATGAGGAGAAATCTTGATAAATCAATGTATTAAAGTTAGTCCCCATTCTTATCAAGCTTCCATTTCAATAGTGGCCAAACTTTTAAACTTTGGAGATACGCAGTGCAAACATGATACATTTATAGCAGGTATCAATTTTTTTCTAGGTGCAACGTTGCACATTTATGTGCAAGTCTTGAAAATCATGTGCATTTTGCACATTGCACCTGGGTATTTCGAGCCCACATGTGTATTATGTGTTCATCAACGATTTACAGTTAAAGAATAACTATTAGAATTAAAATTCCAAACCAACTGGAGGCTGAGTCATTTCATCCATTATTGATTAGAAAAATTTCATACATCGGAAAAATTGTCAAAAGTCACAAGCACCGAAACTAATAATACTTCACAAATCTTGACAGGTGAGAGGCAGACCAAGTGAAATTGTCCAGCCCCCGGCAGACTGGGGTCCGTACCTCAACAAGCACAGGAGGGGCGTGGCAACAGGACAACCTGGGCAACCTCCTGTGGATGACACAAGGATGTAAGGTGCCAGACGGACCTGTGAAACCTGCAGCTAAATCATGGATAAGGCGCTAGACAAGACTACACTGTGTAACCAAAGGATGATGTCAACCCAAATGTAATCATACTATAATTACATGTATGTTTACCAAAGGAAAACATATTGTTTTTGCTCTGTTTCTTCTTCTTCCATCCCAAACACTGAACTCTGACCTGGTCAATGACCTGAACCAGACTGTCTCTCACCATGGTAACTGGTGTTAGGTTACATAATGTTGCAATTTAATAGTAGGAGGGATTTAGACTCCTGTTACCATATATGTGAATGTGTTTGAGTAAGAATTAACAGAGCAGACCATATGCGAAAGTTAACTTTATACATTTGCTTTGCAAATGTTACTTTTTAGTTTATAGTTCTTCTTCCCATATGTGGACCTGTTGCATAACATTATAGATATCCATATAGACCAGGTCTAGTTAATCAGTGTATACTGACACTAGATTGTTAGTCTTAAAACTAATAATTAGACTTAGATTTAATTAAATTTCTAGACTATCATCATGAATCCTAGGATTGGAAAGGAAATACAATGTATATAACGTTACTACCCCTCAGTTCAAAGATAGGATGGACCTGACTGGAAGAGAAATGATATTGCTGATAAAGGGCTTTTTTGTATGGAATATTTTGGAAACCTGTCAATCTTGGCAATTTTTTTACACTTTCATGAAGTAAGACTCATGCATATGACAAATTCTTAAAAAATTATAAAAGGCTCATAATTTTACCAATAAGGAGCTTTTCAGTACATAAAGAAACTTACATGTCCATTATTGGGCTGTCATTTATATCTCTTATATGCAGCTCTTATATCTTATAGTCTTTTTTTTAGCTAAATCTAATTACTTTGTAGTTACTGATGACTTTTTTTACTCTTTTTTTACCTTAGCTGAAGTTAATGATTCTGATGTGGTAACTATCATGAATGGGTGACAGACATGTTTGTGCTATTCATAAGAAAGTACAATGATAAAGCCATGCAGTGATATTATGTATTCTATACTAAGTCAGAGAAGAATACATTGTATACAATTCATGATGATACATTTATATATCCATGTATGTATTTATTTACTAATATGGATCTATAAACTTTCTACGACTTACAGTAGTTATCAACTTTATGAACTTTATTGTAAGTATTAAGTACGAATTAAAGTCCTAACTGACCTTACGTTTCAAGTCTATGACAACACGTAGCTATTGAATACTTAAAGCAGCGGCTATATGCGGCATTTGCTCAGGTCAACCAGGGTGTAGAATTTCAGTACATCTGTCATCTCTCAGGCAAGGAGAGGACGGTGTGTTTCGTGTACCGGCTTTGTGCTGGACAGGCATGTGGCGTCAAGCGCTGACGATAGGCACCGATAAAAACAGCATTGTCAATGGTGTAAGGCAGAACGTGTCTTGTACGGTAGACAGGGTTAAGTGGGGAGGAGAGGGGCACCTTGTGAGCTTTGTTGATAACAAGTGCACGCGTATCACCTGCTAAGACATTGTGATAGTCAAACTTTGCATTAATTTGCTCCTCGCTGTATCAGTTTTTGAAGTGAAGTCGGCTCAAGAACTGGATTTCACGTAGGAACAGTCGAAAGATCTCGAAAGGCTGCGTGGCTTAACGATGCTCCCATGCTTACTGTGGACATGTAGTAACTGAATCGGGTTGTTGGCAAAGGTAAGTCTTTACATCCGATCTTAAATGTCTAGTTGTTTTCATATTTTTTTTCAACATCTTAAAGTTAGAACGCCTCTCTCAAAAGTGTCAGATAGAGCATATCGACTTACATACTGCCATATACATGTACTAGAGTACATGATTGCGTTCCCGCGCAATTCTCGTAATGCAGGCTGTCTGTATAGAGATTAGTGTTAGTGAGTATGGATATTTTTAAATCCCCATACATCACGAATGCTTTTTGTTTATCAACAACTTGTGTCGACGTCAAGTGTCTCAGTCTGTTTAAGTGTTTCATTTATCAGCTGCTATTCCGGTTTCGTAATATTCTGTGAGGGTTACGGCAAGTGGCTAGTCAAATCGCAGATCTGGCCATCAAAGGACGCTGTAGGTAAGGAGTAGGTGAGGAGAGCGGTAAAGCGCCTTGTTTTTTTCCCGTGTTTTCAAGACTAGAAAGCTCACCTATTTTAAGTGTGGATATTGTTTTGCCATCTATTACCATTGTACATGCAATAGCTTATGTGAAGGTTTGCTTATTATTTTAAACCTTTCCTTGTTTTCCTTTTCTTTGACAGGTTTTAAGTTAAACGTACTGTAACTGTAGCACCAAAACTCGTAACGGTGCCAAAATTACACGAATAACTTACAAAGGGAACATACTAGTAGTACATCCTGCTACAATCGCTATATGTTGCAATTGTTATTTCTTATAAAACAACAGAACATATTTTGAGAGGCTTGCACTCACTCTGAAGACGACAGTGTATTCGATTATCGAGCAGACTGGAAGTTGAACATCTCCAATGTTGTAATTAATCGTCCACAGTTTAGTATTTATGTCACAAAAATTATCATAGTTATTAAAAACTGTATAGTTCCACTACACACCATCATGCTAGCCAGTTCAAATATCCCAAGGTTTTGAAGGAATGGTGACTGAATATTCTAGAAAAACAATTTGGCCTGTTGGCCAAGATGACCTCATTGTAGGAGATTCGCATGACCAACAGTAGAGAAAAGCAAGCGGCGGCCTTGTCTCGCCATGCCCCTGGGTCAGCACATACTCTCCCACAACTCGGCAAATACCGCGAGAACAACTCCTAAACTACCCGGTCGTTAACACTGTTGTTTGCAACATATCAGTAAGTGCATATGGGTATGAACTAGAATACCATTAATGTAAAACTTCGTATTGCACCACACTTGATATAGCATGAAACGATTTTACGAGCATCTAAAAACACCCCTTTACTTTATTTGGAACGAGTTAGCACTTGATATGAGAGAGAGAGAATCAGTTTGTTCACACGCACCTTTAAAATACACTTAAAACAGTTTCCAGTTGTCAACGGAAGCAGCTATGTCGATTTAAATTTAGCTTAATTGAGTTGTGACATAACCTAATCGGTTATAGGTTACACAAATAAAATCATATCGCACACTTGCTAAAAGTTGTATATACTTATAATAAAACTCTACTTAAAGTTATTATGATAATAAAGGATTATTGCCCCGTCCCGAGGATTATATGGTGAGATAACCCCTGACCAGGGGCAATAACCACCGAATAAACCACCGAGTGAGCGTAGGTATATCATAAGACCGTGGATTGTTGAACTCCACGGCCGTGCTCTTCATCAGTATAGTGATGAACTCCAGGGCCGTTGAATTCATCGGTGTAGTGATGCACTTCCGTCCCTAATAGCGACGATTTTCCTTATCAGTTGTAAAGTATTTTGTAAATTCACATGTTTGAACTGCAAACAACTTTTTTTTAATGGATGTTCCCATTTTGCCTATCAGTTGTAAAGTATTTTGATGTTTGAACTGCAAACGGCTTTTTCAAATGAATCTTCCCATTTCGCTCATCAGTTGTAAAGTATTTTGTGGTTTCATACGTTTGAATTGTAAATAAATTGATGTTGCTCTGCGTCTGCGCCGTAAATAAAAACAAAACTGGTTGATGTTACGCGTAACATGAGTTGGTTTATGTTGGTAACGGTAGTTTGATCGGTTAGTTACGTTATAGGACAATGTAATGCAAATGTCCGAGAAATAAATGCCTCGTTTCAAGACAAAACGCGTCAAAACATCAACGAAACAAAACGTGACGGAAGTGCCGTTGAGTTCATCACTACATATCGATGACGGAAGTACCGTTGACTCGGTTGAGTTCATCACTACATATCGATGACGGAAGTGCCGTTGAGTTCATCACTACATATCGATGAATTCAACGGCGAATCGCCGCTATTAGGGACGGAAGTGCCGTTGAGTTCATCACTACATATCGATGAATTCAACGGCGAATCGCCGCTATTAGGGACGGAAGTGCCGTTGAGTTCATCACTACACCGATGAATTCAACGGCCCTGGAGTTCATCACTATACTGATGAAGAGAACGGCCGTGGAGTTCAACAATCCACGGTCGTATGAAATATGTCACATTCTATGTTACGTCAAACAAGATGGCGTGGACAGAAAAACATCGTCTGCGGTGACCTTGTGAAATTTTAATTTACAAACGATATGGACAGTTGAAACACGTCATGACATCCGTACATGATCGATGAGTCATGTTGTTTACAGTTATACCAGACATAGCGCGAAACACGTCTGTGTCCTTGGTTATATGCAGCAGGTGTACAAACATGTGTGATGAAACTGCGCGTGTGAAAAAGGAGAAGTGTGTGGAAGAAGTAATGTTTTTCTCCCAGATGATTGACAATTTAGACAAACCACAATGAGAGGCATGGCGTGTTACTGCTCATGTGTGACTGTCAACTGAACAAGTTCCACATTCCCGTGACGTGACAGAAATAGATCTAAAATTCTTGACCGCTACAAAAACTCTGATACTGAGACTCAAAACGTTTGTTACCATCTACAGACAGACATGAGGCTCATGAAAACTACCCACCCTTTGCTTCTGTACTGCCTGACCACATTGTTGCTGATAATTAACACGGCTTTGTGGTAAGTTTAAATATCGTTCTTTTGGATGTACTATATTTATATAAGCCTTGGAAATATGTTCATCATTTATTTAATTATAAGCTCTGGGGTAAGAACTACATTTTGAAAATGGGACAAATGTATGGCAACACCACAACTGTATCGGTAGTTGAAGTATAATAAAAGCTTATCTGTGTATAGAAAAGTATATAGATACATATCGTCATTGCAGTTTTGATGTACAACATCTATAGGGTATTTGCTGCTTGATGGTATTATCTTAAGAACAAGAACAAACGATAGCAATGTGAGATATTTTTGCTTATACACGTATGCTATTTTTTAAAGTTTATCAGCCAATGACCAGGCTGATGATATCAACGACGTCTTGTCGCCCTTCTGGACCGAAAAGGAAGCCAACAGTTTTCTTGAGAGGTCACCGAGGAAGAAGCGGACGTTACACGAGGAATGTTATGGAGAAGGCTGTGTCTATGAAGAAGTCCGTGAGGTCTTTTGGAACACCGAAAAATCGGTAAGTCGTCCATTCTTCAATCAATCAAGTGACACCTTACTTACTATGGAACTATTCATGCTATAGATAGCAAGAAGCCATTATTTTATTTCCAGGCTGTTGTCAAGTTTGCCCTAACCCTAAGTTGTCCCTAACTCTTGTAATTTTAATAAGGCCACAGACACCGGGTTGTCGTAAACGTCGCTATGTACAGCAGCAAATTTCCAGCTTCGCATTTCTATGATTTAGTGCCATTTTTATTTTCGGTCGGAATTATTTTTCATTCGCCCGCGCGCACTAGTTTGAGGGTCTTCGATCAGAGGATGTCATCCGTAAAATTAAATCGGTGTAGCCTACAAACAAAATTTCCGTAGCTTGTTAGAATGAAATACGTTTAAAGCTATTGGAAGGCATCCCTTTCTCTCATGCACCAAATGGAGAGAATTTCTGTCTCTATCCTGTTTGATTGATGTTGACAAATAATACATATCCTCGTCGCAGCAAGAATACCTGTCTACAATGGCGTGTCAATATTGGGGATGTACCGCTGGTTACCTGTGTGTCAGGGCGGACGCAGGGACGTCTGGGAGCGGCGCACACTGGAGGGTGTGTAACGGTAAGTTTTCATCGCTGCAGCTTTTTCCACACATGTACAGTGCGAACCACGTAGTACATGTAGGCTTCCTAAATTCTTAAACATGCGGGACATACTTGTACATGCAAATAATTGATAAAGCTTGACATAAAGTAATTGCATAGCTGCCCTAAAGGCTATTATAATTACTTTCTTGATAAGGAACTTCTATAATGCTGATACTTTTCATGATAGGACTTTATGTTTTCACCGGTGTGAGATACTATTCTATTCATCTATCAACTTTATTTTTAACCCATACATACACAGGAAACAACTTAAGTACACAACTTAGATTCGGTAAAATGTTTCCTTACATTTTCAGCACCATTCATTTTTTTTGTATACAGATATCAACGAGTGTTTAACGAACAATGGAGGGTGTCAGCACAGGTGTAGCAACAATGCAGGTAGCTACACCTGCAGCTGTAACACCGGCTACAGCCTGTCCGGACAACACTCCTGCACAGGTAACCACCTCTCACCTGTGGTACTATCTTAACACAATCCCAACGATCCTTCCTAGTGTTTTCCATAGTGGAGTATATCATTTTTTTAAAGAGATCATTCAAGAACATACGTTTTAGTTCCCCCTTACCCGTAAGTTAACAACTGTCGACGGCACACCTAAAAGCACTAGAAAAGAACAGAAGAAATGTAAGCATATAATTCTTTTGATGATCAGATGATGTGTTCTTGATTTAACCCCCATGTACATATAAACGAGCTTGTGTACGTCTGGTTCTAACGTAGCCTGGTAAGTGGTATCCAGTCTATATCGTGGTTGGGACGGGCTGTCTTCGGGACTCTAATAGTTTTCTCCCGTCCAGTTCAACAGGCCGCCCGGTGGGAGTGTTACGAAATCGTAGTAGGAACGCCGGTCGTGCAAAACCTTCCGGGGAACCTAGTAGATGAGTCGGGCGGGAAAAGCTTCTGCAGCCCCGAAGAGAACCCGCCCCAGCCGAGATAGACTGGACACTTAGTTCTAGCGACAGATGTTTTACTTTTAATGAAAATGTGATTCAACAACTTGTAGTGATAGTTTAAGTTCCCGTTGAAGGTTTATATTCGATGGCACACCTAAAAGAAACAGGAAAGACCAGAAGTACTATGTAATATGATTCTTTTGACGATGTGTTTTTGTTTTCCTCTGGGTAGATATAAACGAGTGCAGGTCTGGTAACGGGGGATGTGACCACACGTGTTCCAACACGGCAGGTAGCTACATCTGCAGCTGTAACACCGGGTACTACCTGTCTGGTCAGCACAGCTGTGTAGGTGGGTACAGGAGTCCGCAACTTTGTATAAAAAACTGTGATCGTGCGCGCAAATTAAAGACGTAACGTTACCATACTAGTATTTATTTATCACTTTCCCTTTGTTTTAAGACTTGGTAGTTGGTTACTGTTTTCAGAAGTGACTGAATTGCTCAGTCGGCCATCGCCACAAGTACAAGTACATGTATTATGATTTGCCATTGATGATAACTACCCTTTGGAAGGGGGGAGTACGTACTGTCAAGTACATGTTACATACCTCCCCACTTAAAAACATAAATAGATGTACACCACCCCTTTGGAGAAGGAAGTACGTACTGTAAAGTACAGAGTTATCGCCGCCGAGGTATGACATAATGTAAAGTACATTAGGCATACAGCCTCTTGAAAACATAAAAGGTGAATTGGTAGTCTAAAACTTGAAACTTTACATATTTTAAACTCCGTTTGGCGCTAGCCTGTGACAGTATCGCGGACTGCGAAGTGCTAGAGTGTACAGGACCAGGTGATTCCACGTGCACCACGTGTCAGTACGACCGGGGAGGGGACGCCATGGGCTACCGGCTGGCTGCCGACGGCAAGTCCTGTACTCGTGAGTATTCTGCCCCTACTTGTTGTATGGACATAGCTAGCGGTATACCGTTTGGGACCTGGGACCGCATATTGCAGATTACAGTCCCTGTAACCACGTATATGTGTGAATGTGTAAATATTGCACGTTTGGGAATACATCCGATAAGCAGCGACAGCTGTGCTGCAGTTCAATGTGAACCAATCAGAATTGCCCTGAGGAAGGTGACAGACGATCACCGAAATGTCGCTGTGAATAAAACACTTGGTTGTGTAAAAAGAGTTTTTTTACTCAGTAACTTACCTGATGAAATAAACTATTCATAGATAGCGGTATACCATAGGCATAGCAGTGTACGTGTACCAATTACAGACAGGACATCAAACATTAACGACGTATTGAAGCAAGTTCAGGAAGAAAGCAAATGTTATGTACAGCTGTCGTAGGGCCCGAAATTAAACTTTTAAAGTCGGTATTAATTTAGTATTAAGACAACCACGGAAGTTTTAGTGCCATTAAAAGATAGGATGGCATTTAATTTTCCACTGTCAATTTTAGTTGTAAAGTGTAGTTTTCATGTTGTTTGATCAGAGCTGTGCTCCTGGCGGCCGGACAGTCTGTTCTGCTACCCTGGCAACTGTGGCTCCAACAGCCTACCGTCATCCTGCACATGCGCACCTGACTTCAACGGGACAAACTGTTTGTCAAGTACGTCTGGTCCTGGAAGTACTGGACGTCTTTTTCGATTCTCTGTTTATGCTTTTTATTTTGAAGACTTGAACGTGAATCCAAGCCTTGAAGGTGAATCAAAGCCCATATTAAAGATTGATAAATTGATAAATCAGTACACTAATATTTCCACAGTCCAAGTCCCACCTGAGATGACACACTGTGCCGGACTGCTGACCGGTGCAGCAGGCGAAGTTGCAGAGGCATCGTGTACGGATTCTACAATAGCGCCCTCTACCGTCTGGACAAACCTCCAGCAGGAAGCAACCACGGTGCAGTTAGAGGTATCACTACCTATACCTTCATTTGGACACATATATGTCTATTAGTCCTGGAGGAGAAACCTAAAAAAACTCGTGTCGTAGCCCACCCCGTATGTACTTTGGCAAGTACAATAGAATCACACCTAATGTCCCCTGATCGTTTTAAGATAAGCCGTACTATGGTCCAGGTGGGACATCATGGTTCTAGGGTTCTTTATGAAAATTTGTGCAAATTATGCAAACGTACCATGAATGGAGAATAAAGCACGTCAAACTTCGTGAAAGTCGCAAGTGGCCGCAGAGTTTTTATTTTCTGAATCTAGATTTCTCATTTTCTAGGCCTCATTTGAGAATCTCCTTCTAGACTATATAAAAATGTGATTTGAACTTTAGACGACAATCACTGTTCTTGACTGAAAACTCTGTATATCATGAAACTTGATGGCACCACATCGAAATATGTGATCGTTTTTTCTCTGGTCAGGTTAACTGGGAGACTGCGTTTGAAGAGCCGTCGCCATCTGACTGGCCAGAGCCTTACTACATAGATGACAGGAAAATCGGGATGACGGAGGCGTCCACAAACTGGTGGCTGGAAAGAGGTACTCAACATGTTTGTGATTTTTTTTACGAGTTCGTTGCTAGGACTATGCTGCATATCAACCTGTAACTTTCATGTGAAATTGTACAAATAAATCTTTAACAAATCCTTGTGAACGTAAAGCATATGCACAAAGTATACATGAATTTCTATCGTATATTTGTGTCACAATTAATCATTTCGAGATTCTTCACAATCTTAGGGACAACGGCGATTCTGAACGGCTCTTTGGCGTGTCAGTCATATGAGGATGGTGGCTCAAGTCACGTGGTCAGTCAGGACAGCCCCGCCCTGTCAACTCACAACTGCACCAGAAGACACGTGATCTCTGTTACACCTCAACACGGGGACAGGTCAGAAAACCTTCATTGACTTCGGATGATATGATATGATATCATATGATATAATATGTATCATGTGGTATCTAGCATCAAAGACAATGCATAACACTCCATTCATTTAAAACGAAACACTCTGAAGTTTGGGTACTTTAAGTTAAAGGTAACATTGCCAGTTTGAAGGTTAACTCCAGTTGCATGAGTGTAAAATATCCATATTTCAATGCACAATCAAAACATTGTTTAGCACGCCACGACTGTGCGTTACACCGAGGAGCGATTATACTGCCTAGTCTCCACCCGACTCCTTTGCAGGATATACAAATCGGCCTTAAAACGACTGTAATTGGCCAAGGGAGTTAGTCGACCATAGAGAGTCCAAATCCGTGCAGGAAAATTGGACCCTCTATGGCCGGCTAACTCCCCTGGCCAGTTACATTCCTTTTAAAGCCAATTTATATTTATTCAGCCTGCAAAGGAGTCTGGTGGAGACTGGGTTTACCGGTGCAGATAAAGAGACTGCCCAGATGAATCTAAAACCGTCAGCAATTTCGCGTTTACCCCATTGTGTTGCAGGCTGTATTTTACGGCCAAGTCGAGAAATGGCGGGTACGTGAAGATGAGGAACTATGACGGTCTATCGAGCTACACCGTGAACCCGTCCGTGTACTACTCCGGCCTGGAGGTCTCCCGTACCGCCCACTTCACCTTCGACTTCACCCCACCGTACCACTGCTCTGTAGAGGGGAACTGTACGGACAACATGCTCGACAGGGGGCCGGCTGTAACCAGAAATGTAGGTGGTGTTATCGAAAAATGTACTATCTTTGTGTTTGTACCATTTAAAGTGAAGCTTCAATTTAACCAATTGAGAAAGCCTCCTAAAATCATCTATCGCAGCAACAGTGGCCCGTGACGACAAACTTTGCTTTGTGATTGAGCTTAAGCCGTTGGATGTTTGGATGTTGCTTCAAAGATTGATTTGGACAGAGGGAACTCTCTCTTGCTTACGTCAATGAACGTTAGTCACCCAGGTGATATAAGATACACAAGGAAATGTCATCAGACGCACAAGTAGCACCACAACTCCCTCGCATACTTGCAGAATGCTAAATCAAACTAGAAAGGCCAATATTTGCTTTGGAGCAAATACAGCGATGGGTTCACCACATTTTACCACATGGCAGGGAACGAATGAGAAACACAAGGGAAAACAATGATTTACATTGATATAACTATAATATGAAGTAACATACAACTAAAACAACAGTTGGATAGCTATTCCCTACTTTATTGGTTAGGATTTTTAATTGCATAATGCAAACTGTTGATTTTACAAAAAAAAAAAAAACGTTCATGCCCCGCATTCCAATGCTGGAGCAGAAAAGCTTGAAATACCTACCAAAACACTTGAATAAAGACATACTGTCAGTATGGAAATGCTCTGTGCAGGTGTTAATCAAGTTAAATCCCAACAGCCAATCAGCAAGAAATGCTCTGTGCAGGTGGAAATGCTCTGTGCAGGTGTTAATCAAGTTAAATCCCAACAGCCAATCAGCAAGAAGTATAGAGGAAAGCTGCATGCCTATTGGTTGATGCCCTGCATTCCATTGTGATGACTCATGCCCAGACGTGGTAAACACGGCAGACTAACACACGGCAGACTAACACAGTAATACATTTGCTATAACACAGCCAAAAAACTCAAATAAAACCATTCTAAAAGCCTGTATCACAAAAATTTAAAATTTGACCACTGTACCTCCATACCAAATTTCAGGACCTTAGGCCCTAAAATGAAGAAGCTGAATCCATTTAAAAAATGGCAGGAGAAGAAGGAGGAGAAGGAGGAGAAGGAGGAGAAGAAACATCAGAAAAAGCAATATGGGTTCACCACCACTTCGTGGTGTGGTGAACCCATAATTAGTCTTATCGGATGGCGGACAAACTACCGATGAACCTGAACATTTCTATCGTCCAATATAACCAGCACCACCATCCTCGTACATAAAAATTGTAAATTCACATTTGACTACATGTGTACTGTTTTGTTCCAGGGCACGATTCGCCTCCGCTGGTCCGGTTGGCATGACGACGACTCCGGTATCCGGACGTACACGTACGACATCGTCCGGCTGCGGCCGTGCGGAGATGGGCTGGGGATGCCGGGCCAGGAGCGGGAGTGCCAACAGGAGAGCGCGGTACGTCCCAACCGGACTGCCGGGCCGTGTGTGCTCGGTCTAAACGGTACCGAGAACGGGACAAGTGAGGCGGGTCTGAATGGGACGAGAGAAGGTAACATCACGTGGGGAAACTGCACCGACGTGGGAGGCAATGACACAGCAATAAACGGCACCGGCACTGAGAACGCTACCACTAGTACACCGATAAATGGCACTGCCAGGGAGAACGCTACCACTAGCACACCGCAGGTAAACAGGAGGCGCATCAGAGAGGCCGGAGTAGCGAACGGAAACAGTACAGCAAACATCACAACACAGGGAGAGAACACCAACACTACCTCAGGGTCGACTAATGGAACGGACATGAGCGTTGGTCGCAATTCGACGGGCACAAATTCGTCTGTGGACGGACGGAACGTCACAAATAGCGGGAACGTCACTGACGTAGACGGCGACGTAGTGTATCCACTCAACGGAAGTGTTGGAGCCGACACCGAACAGGTGGACGTCACCATTACCGAACCAGGTAAGTGTCACGAAATCTTCTCCAAATTACGTGTAATATGTTAGCATGATGATATATTGCTCGGACAATTCTGTGGTACCCAAAACTCGATATATTGGCAAAGTCTGAAAAAAAACAAAGCTGACGACAAGAAAATGTAGTAACGTATGTACTACTAACACCCGGCCTGTACGTCGTCATTATGCTGTTCTGATCCAAGACAAAATGGACTACATCTTCAATGATGATAACGTTTATGTATGCTATTAATGATGCGTAGCTAGCGTTGAAAGGAAAATGTTCTTAAGAGGCATTCTTCCTCATCGCATCTCTTGTCCAACATGATCAGGTGTGTACTCGGTGACACTGACTGTGGAGGACAGTACAGGTCCCGGTGTTGGGAACGTCATCACGGCGCAAAGGTTTCTGATTTTCGACGACAACAGCACGGTGGAGATAGACACATCCGGGACCTTCCCCCTCCTCGTGACGTCAGCAGCAAACGACACAGGCTGGCTGTGGCAAACCAACTTACACGACGGTAGCAACAATGACACAAAGGTGACAAAGTTTTGTCAATAGAAAAGCCAAGTAAAGAAATAAAGCAGCTAGAATAAAGTTGAAATAAAAAAATTACTCGTCTAGAACTACTAGATCTGTTATTGTTGAAATCAAAAGTTTTAACTGTCCAATATTTAACTGTTTAGTTTTTATTGTCCAACCTGTTATGATTGCTCCATCGTATCAGCTCCAGTTGACATGGGCCGGGCACTTCTTCAACAAGCTACACCGTGACAACAACTTCCTCGGCGCCATAGTGGCACATCCAAGTAACATCTCAACTGACTATGAGGAAACATCTGGTAAGCAGAACAAGAGTGTTATAAAGCTTGTCGAGGGAATAAATTGGGTGGGGTGAGTGTGATGACATTGTGTGACTTAAATAAGTGTTCACCTTGGTAACTTGAATTGTACTAACGCTTATTATGCTAATTCTGTCAAAGGGTATACAGCAGATACATAAGATTAAGAATCATATATGTCACGTGTGATATAACGTATATATCACCGATATATCAAATGGAAATATTGATTAGCTTTCTGATTGTTGTCAGGCCAACCCCCGATGACCAGGTCACGTGAGGCGATCCCAAACGTCCATGGGATCGTGTTGTTCCAGACGGCCTGGGGCGGGGATCAGCAGGGAGGGCGGAGTCTGACCCGGCCGGCCGGGGGCTGGGAAAACGTCATGGTAACGATTGTTACGATGCTAAATGCGTCGGTATTTTTCTTTCCCACAAGAAGCTTTAAATTCAACGATTTCATAATGACATGGACAGTCTGTGTTGATAAAAACATTACATTTTGTTCTTTAAAAATACACTGGGTGTAGGGTCGTGTGGCGTAACGGTAGAGTGTTTGCCGCGGAACCAAGAGGTCCCGGGTTCGAACCCTGCCATGCAACCGATCCTGTGCTCTTGGGAAAGGCACTTTACAGGAATTTCCCCCATTTAACTTTAAAATGCGTATGACTGTTGTCCGTGCGTTTGTCTGCGTTGGTAGCGGCATGAAAATAAGTTTGAAAAACTTGAGTGTGCCGTCGTCTGATGTATTGTGATTTTTTTTCGTTTATTAAAGGAATATTACATATAAATACATACAAAGCTTTAAAGATTGGGATGAATGTTGGAATAGAAACAATACACTGCTTCACACGCACACATAAGTGCATTCACGCAATATATTTTACAGGTAGAAAAACAAGATTTTGAGATTTCACGTGAAGACGGCGACACAGTTCGCTTTTGGGTTCGCGCCATTGACGTCATGGGTGACGTGGCCGAAGATGACGTCACCATTCACGTTGACTCGACTCCGCCTGTTTTGGGAAACGTCACATTTGCAGTGAACTGGACTGACAAGATAGACTTCCTCAAGTGAGATGAATACCTGTCCTTGGTGCTGAACGCCATTCACACAGACACACATGCAAACATTCCTGTCCTTGGTGCTGAACGCCATCCACACAGAACACATGCCAAAATTCCTGTCCTTGGTGCTGAACACCATCCACACAGACTCACATGCAAACATTCCTGTCCTTGGTGCTAAACGCCATCTATACAGACACACATGCAAACATTCATGTCCTTGGTGCTGAACGCCATTCACACAGACACACATGCAAACATTCCTGTCCTTGGTGCTGAACGCCATCTATACACATCTATGACGTATCCTTGTATCTTATATATGTAGCTTATATATGTCTTATTCTAATACCCTTGTTTTACATCCTTCATCCTGGCATTGCTTGTTTCGATTTCAAAGTTAATCCATGTAGTACTTTGATTCTTTTGATGATTGGGCAAAAATATATGAGTAGAAGTAGAAATTCTTCTTTTGTTTGCAGTAAAATATAATAATAACAGTCCCATATCACGATGACTCTGGTCTCCCAAAGTGTTTATTGATATATACACGGAGCGTTAACCGCCTTAGTATATGTTGCAATGGTTCTACATACATGTAGTCATAGCATGAAAGTGTCATTGCTTTTGAGAAAGGTATTCTTTACGATCAAAAACACAGCAATGACACACATACTATCCTCATTTAAATTTGATTCTTTTTTTGCTTCAGAGTTCACGTTCAAGCACACGATCTTCATAGTGGAGTTTTCGATGTGCACTGGACGCTGCAGGACACCACCAGACCTCTTCTTATACATGGAGAAGGACGGATGGTGTTTCAAACCGCAGAAGTAAGTCAACTACATAACACGTATCTATAACGTTACTCCACAATTCCTTTGACATCATAGAGTGATGTAGCAGCCTAGCTTCCCTTTTGTAGGTTTCGGATACTCGTGCCTTAGTGATCTGAAAACCGTGTCTAGTTTGTGTACATTGGCGTGATTTCGGTGCGCAAAAATACCTTCATAATACATGAAAACGGCCGCAGTTATGAAGATACCAGTCACAACCGTAAATGTTATTCCTTTTGAAAGATTTTCGAGTAAAAGGATGGAAAGAGAGATGGTAACATTTACTGACGGTCCAGACTTTCTAAAAGACGATCGTACACGATCGGCACACACTCGCGCAAGGATGAGAAGTTGTCAGAATTTGTGACCGCCTAAAGAAAAAAAAAAGAAAACATCGCCATCTTCCATCGTTAGTTTTAATACAGACATTTGGACGTCAAAGTTACATTTTTTAAATCCCACAACAGGAGTGCGAAGAATCACGGTGTTACTGCATTCCCAAGGACAGCGACTGTTTCTTCTGGAATTACACCATCGACATTAACGTCAGGGAGATGAACCTGTCGGTCGGCTTACTCGCCGATGAAGCGTACAACGTCACACTGACTGTGACCAACAACGCCATGCTGCGGACCACAGATGAACGGCAGGTAAGAAATTGTAGAAAATGACACTTGAAACTGCTGAATGGATTAGAATTTTAAAACAGCGCCCGGATTGAGACTAATATAATTACGAAAATAGAACTTCGTTATGGAAGGACTGATATGTGGCAATAAAAAGTATTACATTAGTCAAAACACACATTTTCATTTTGTTCCTGCTTACAAAACTATGAAAAAAGAAACATTCAAAGACATGTTTTGCCTTTACAGGTAATTGTGGACAAACTACCTGGTAAGTGTGATATCATCTTTTTATCTGTTTAAGTGCATGATTTGAAGAAAAGTAATAAGAAGCATGGGCCTTACATGTGAATATAAAATGCGCAGATTTCAATGCAACTTGTATTGTTTAAGTTCTGAAGAAAGGCCAGTTAAGTTGGAGGGTTAGGAAATGGTAACATTAATCCAGAAAGTGATGATTTTTTTCTGTTATAACATTTTTCTTGTTGTGTTGTCTGGCAGGGGATAAAGGTTACTGGTTACTGATAGCCGGTGGGTCATCAGTGGTTGGAGTACTGGTCCTGGTCATTGTATGTCTGCTGGTGGCCAAAGGGGTGTTCAGACAGAAAGTGGCTCCTACTACAGGTGAATAGTGCTCTAGTATACACGTACACGTCTGTGTGTCTGTGCATCCATGTATGTGTGTGTGTGTGTGTATACACTTGTGTATGTATGAGTCTGTGTGTAGACCTGTATGTATGTATGCGTCTGTGTACACCTGACAGTGTATGTATGTATGTATGTATGTATGTGCATATACATATACAGTGTATGTACATGTATGTGTGTCTGTCTGTGTACACCTGACACAGTAATTGTATGTATGTATGTTTGTGTGTCGGTATACACCTGACAGTATATTTATGTGTGTGTATCTGTGTACACCCGGCAGTGTATGTATGTATGTGTGTCTGTGTATACCCGACAGTGTATGTATGCACATGTACATGTATGTGTGTGTGTCTTTGTACACCAGACAGTGTATGTTACGGTATGTATGTAAGTGACACTGTGTATATATGTAACGTTATATATGTGCACATGTGTATGTGCTGTGTAGACTGCGAACATAGAAAACTCACATTTTTACTTCAACAATGTTCGATACATGTTTTGTATCACGCAAGAAAACACCTTAGCACAATATTCTAATGAAAGGTTGTAACAGATTTCTTACAAGAAAATTTCATGCAAACAAATCCTGAAGTTCTTTCTACATACTGATGCATGTGTAATATCCCTTGTTCATGCCCAGCACCTAGCATACCACAGATACAGCCCATGGAGAAGTTGTGCAACCCAAGTAAAGTCATCCTTCCATTTGTGGACCCAACAGACATTAAGACCACAACGTTGTGAACATGTTACAAATTCCTCTACAGTATAGTATTAAAAATTTGCAGCCAATATCACTAGACCTGCGGGAATTAACAGTAAGTCTAAAACTTGCAAGTCTTTAATCCTTGTGTTGGAATAAAGTTTAGCATCATACTATATAATAAGTTTGTATAATTATGTATTTCTGAAGATTAACCAGGTGAAGAGATTGTGGCTATTCATATACATATCAAGGAAATTGTAAATAATGTAAAAGGTTTTGACTTAAAATTGCTACTTGTAAATGCACCAATCTACCTCTGGATTTCTTCTGAGTAATTAATTATCTTCCACAAACTAGTCAGAAAGTATATAAAAGATTGACTACGTTTTTGTATGAATTGAAAATGTCAAAAGAACAATGATTGTGCAGTGTCTACATATATGTATATGTATGCAGGAATTGTATGCTCAAATAGAAGGGAGGATGGAAGATACATTGTACTTATTTTGGGAGGGGGGGTAGAGAAGAACTGGGTGAGTGAATTGCATGAACATTCTTGTTAAACATTCAAATGCCTTGTTCCTGTGTATAAGCAGGGAATTTTGTTCTCAACATAGAGCAACGGATCAAAAATAGACAGAGACCTTTAGAAAGCAAGTCATTGAATCAAACTCTATTTACAAACTCTTCGAAAGCAGAAAACAAAAATTCACAATTTTGTTTCATATAAAGTCGACCCTCACATCAACAAATATAATGCTTTGACCTGCACTAGCAAACACACACAAAACACCCTTTCCTCTGATATGCTGCCAGTTTACAAGCCAAACTAAAACCAGCAGAGATTACATTACATTTGACAAAGAGCAGTCAACCACATTAAAAGTTCATTTCTCAAGACAAGACTGAAGACATTTCTCATAGAAACATTATTGGAAACTGGACGCACTTCTGAATATGACAGTATTGTCTAGAAACCTATTTGACAGTGATTCTTGCCATTGTAGTACAGTTGAGGGAAATGGCACATTAATCTACATACATGGTCAACTTCATGTATCAACATGGCACATACAGATTGCTGAGCCATTGGCTACAAAATTTGCATTGTCTAACAGGCTAGCAGTAAAATGTGTCACGTTCTGAATAATCATTGTGATTTCTGGCATATTGTAATTAATTTTCTACTTAATGCTGGAAACCGTGTTCACATTACTGAAGGTATGTGAGTTTGTTGACATCTTGAATTGAATGGGTCAACTGTTTGGTCCAAGACTTTGTCATTGGTCTTATTGAGTAACTGCTTTTTAATTACAGTGTACTAAGAAAACAAGCAACACACCATTGACAGTATAATAATGACACACTGTAAATCTACAGTTGGTAAAGGGAACTACATCATCGTAGAGATGTTGTTAAAACCGAAAACACATTAATCAATATATAAGAAGTTGTCATCCTGAATTTGTATCCTGATGAGCAATTTGTGTGATAAAAAGTATGTACCAACAAGCAAGATACATTGTACGTCGATGAAGGTTAGACATCCAGGCAATATGATACGCCAAAAAACAGTTACTCAAGCAACTGGATTTGCATCATCTTGTCTTGACTTGTCTGACTTTTGTTCCTTTTTCGACTTCCAAAAAATTTGTCTTCACTTTATTTACATATCAATCAATAGGTTGTGCTTATAAACCTGCTCTGGTCTCTCAGTCACTGACGAAAGCTAGTGGATACTAGCTGAAACGTCTGACGTTTTCAAAATCATATCCAGTTGCTTGAGTAACTGTTTTTTGGCGTAAGATACGTTGTACATTCATTCATTATGAAAACACACTATATGTGACAGTAAAAAATAAATCATGTAAATCAGGACTCCTGTTTACAATTATAACACTCACACCAACACTTGCTACATCTACAAATGTTATATCTATACACATTTCCATCTATACCATGTAAAATATTTTTCGATATTACCAAAACATGACAACATGGCCATGAAGGTACAGTCTGTTCCATTCAGACACAAAGACAAGTAGGACATCTAAAAAGTATACAGATTAAATATGGAAGAAACAAAAAAATGACAAAAAAATATGATAAGAACACAACAGATGTTAAGACCAGCTGAATCAGTGATGATATGATATTTGTAGAGACTTTTCACTAATTCTGAAAAACTTGTTAGGACACGGCTCTGTCAATATACAATTCTGATGTGGTATGGCACCTACATGTAGTATCAGGTACCTAAACAGAAAATCAGACATAGCGTCTCTTCCACACATTTATCATAAATATATTCTACTTTCTTCAAAGCTGAAATGCTTTGAGACAACAGAGGAATTTCATATGAAGTTCAAAAGACAATCTAGTAATTCGGAAAAAAAAAAGTGGTGACTTAAGTATCGAAGACACACCACACAAAAATCACGATAGTTTGACATTTTGCACTGATAGCTGCCTACGTAATTTGGAGTTGTCTGTAGAGTGGTCCGCGTTATTGTGCGTACGCGCCCGGTTGGGTGGACCGTCGTCGCAGGTTGTAGCGCGTCTGTTCAGCAGGCCTGGCGGCCGCTGGTGCCTCTGATCGCCGTCCTCGCTTCTTCTTCGCATCCTGGAGAGACAGGAAAGAAGATATCTGGAAGGTTAGGGATGGATTCTCATCTGTCATATTATAGCTCTACTACATACACAGTTAGATGTGGGGACTGGACAATGTGAACTGTAACATTGTTAAATTTGGTCTCACTTTTCAAATACATTGTACACATAAGCCTACATGTACACATAAGCCTACATGTACACATAAGCCTACATGTACACATAAGCCTACATGTACACATAAGCCTACATGTACACATAAGCCTACATGTACACATGAGCCTACATGTACCTCAGCATTTATTCTATTCCTTTTGGACTACTCTTTAACAATATCATAAAAGGTACCAAATGTACATTGTAACTGTATCAGTACTATCACTGTCTTTCCTATAAACTTCTTTGTTATTGTAGTAGATAAATGTGGTCTAAATGACTCATTTACTGTTATCAACAGGATGAGTTGTGAACTTGAGACAATGCCTCAATTGCACAACTTCGTACACATTCTGGACATTCTTTAGAATGGAGGGTCACCAAGTATAAGAGAGAACATTAATAATTAAATCACTTGCTACCAGATAGTACACCATTGTTAATGCTTACACTGTGTTCAAGCAGCTACTGCTTTGCTCTGTAGTAATGCACATGCCAATGTAAACCTTGAGGAATATATTGTTTTGAGGAGCACTTCTAGGTGCATCCTGCTATGGTATGAATGTCAAAATTCCCCTTCAGGTTCATATGGACAAGTGCAAAAAAGCCTTCATGTGCGCCATACTGTAAATCACTTTATATTTGCAGTACTGTTATATTTGCGTTTTCGCGGTCACTTGGGTACCGCAAATTTATTATTACTGCAAACAAATAATTCGCCGACTTTCTTTCTGCACCTGCCACCATTGTGAACATGTAGTTCCGCAAACATGTCCATTTTTCAGACCACAAAATTTTGCTACCTCGAATATAAAGTGATTTACAGTACCCATGAGATCTGCGCCACACTGCCTGCCAGGATTGATTAGTGCAACCAATGGAAGCAAACTATGGGTCCCTGCACTGGAAAACTGTGCCACCAGGTTGCAACATATTGTGTTATCAGTCTGTGCATTCACGTTGAATACTGACGATCTCCAAAGCACAATAATATCTACCAAAGTCGACGTAAATTCTACAGTTCTTGCATCTTTGTTAGAATTTTTACTGAATTGTGACTGTCCTGGTCCTGTAAAGGAAGAAATTCATGCTCTGCACATCTACATTCTAAAGCCAACCAAACATGCACCGCTGCTTGTGAAAAAAATTGTGCTTAAAATCAACCAACTACCAGTGGAATAGATGTACTTTGGTAGTTGTGGCCTTGGTCGTGCTCAGATCTTTTTCTGTTTCCTTTTCTGTGAGCATAGAAAAAAAACAAGAATAGAATACAACACGTGATTTTCAGAATGGTGTGAACCAGACAAAACAACAGCACCAAGAAAACTTCTTCCCTTCTATAAAAGGAGGCATTTGTAACATGTATGAATACTGCAAGCCTCAAATGCAGATGATTCCGTACTCAGGGAGCGTGATGGTGAATTGCATTGCCAATGTTGAATGGGACATTCTCACTCATTCAATGAATGATGCTGAATGTGTCACTCAATGCAACATTTCTGCTGAAAAAAAAAGTAGCCATATGGAGCCATTACTTGCATGAGCTACTCATGATCCTTTAACAAGAGATGTGTCCAGTGTTCTAGCAAGCACCAAAAGGGGGCATGGTCAGCGTAAAAAAATTTGAAATCTTGACCCTCTGAAATGCTCTTTCCTGGATTTTGAAGGAAAAGTTTTGCTGGTAGACTAAGCTTTGTTTAATGACATCCCTTTCCATTTCTTTACCTGCTGATTTTTCACCATCAAAGATGATGATTTGGGAAAAATTGTCGTCCATCATGAGTGGCAAAATTCTGTCAAATGATGGAAAGATTGACACTGGCTAGTACACTGGGTGTCCCATCTCACATAAGAGCAAAACGTTTTTTTTATTCCACACAAAAACTTACTACTGATCATGATTACATTTAAAAGTGATTACACTTAAAAGTGACTACTGCTTTTTTGTGAGACATAGAATGCATTCGTAGTTAAGTTCAACATTTAAATCTCAATGTCCATGGCAGCAAAAGCTAAACAAAGGCGGAAGCGAAGTTCTCACCACGTATGTCTCGTTGTAGAAGTTGCCGAAAAGCAGGATGTGGGAGATGCCATACAGGATCAGGGCCACGTTGTACTCGTTGGGGAAGCCGCAAGACAGGTAGATCGCCACGGAGGTGTGGACTATGATGGCCAGAAACTGGATCTGGACAAAAAAAAAGAGTGTGACCATACTGCCCTGTGTGCCCAGTCAACACATACAACAATGTCCATTTGACAATAATAGCTTCATGGCTCGAAATTCATTTTTGGGAATAGGAGCACTAAAATATTGGGTGCACCTTTTGCAGGTGCACCATATAAAATAAAATGAGTAGAATGTCGGCAAAAACTAATGAAAAGTACTATAACAATGATTTTATCATTTGGATACTTGGATATTAAGAATATGCTGTATACTACTATACATTTAACATCTTTACATATGTAAACCTATGAAAATACATCCACAGAAAAAAATTGGGTGCACAGCTCCAAATTTGGGTGCACTATGGTGCACCTGCACCCAGTATTTCCAGCCCAAAGCTTAGAAGTTAGATCAATGTCTGTACATTATGCTGACATTTTACAAACCATATTTTACCTACATGAAACAAAATCAGTGAAATGAAATCAAATTTTCTGATCTGTTTCAACTGTTGTAGAGAGGGAAAGAGACCTTGGCCAAAGGAGTGAGAAATGAAATTTTGAAAAGATTTAAATCTAGATTCATGCATGTTGTAAGTTGGGAAGAATTTCCACTATCACTAGTATCAGCTTCTTCAACTTTCATATTTCAGACTATTGTGTACATTATCATGCAAATCCTAGTCTACCACACTCAGTTATAGTACCCTGGGCTATCTGGTTTACCAGTGACCCTTACCAGTTGCAGGGTGGTGAGGTACCGTTTCCACCACAGGTAGGGCTGCAGTCTGGGCCCCACGGCGGCCAGCAGGTAGTACGTGTACATCGCCACATGGATGAAGGAGTTCAGGGTAGCCGAGAAGTACGCTGGTGAGAAGTACAAAGCAACGATAGTGGTTACATATATAAAAATTTGAAATTAACTATGAGATCATTTCTCCTGATATCTTTCAATGTGTTTCAGGTTTTTTTGACTTCCTGTCATGCTGCCTGTCAATCTTCCCCACCCATTAGCTGTCAACCTACCCACAGCTCAGCAACCCAAGTAAAAAGAAGCACTCAAATAAAATACACAGTTACAGTTAGCAGAAGAGCAGCTAAAACAAACTTACATTCTCCACCAGGGATCCAGCGGACTCCAACGAACCACAACATGGGCATGGTGGCGTGGTGATACACATGCAGGAATGTCACTTGGCTGGTCTTCTTACGCAGAATGAACACCACCTATTGTACACATCCACACAAAATAGTGTCAGTATTTCAGTGGTAAAAGTTTAGAGCTCTAGAAGTAGAACTGTGACGGACAACCACAAACATCATCAGTTTTGAGCAGACTCTATTGGTGAAGTTGGCCTGTTTTGTATTAGGCACATATAGGGGACATGCCGGTGTAACTGTTTAATGTTGGACTGTTCTTTTTGTTGAACAGATTTTTACTTACCGTGTCGATCAGCTCCACAAGCTTGGAGAGGAAGAACAGGTAACATGCCCTGGCCAGCTGGAAAATAGAAACAACCATGTTTTACTATGTGACATGTGTACATTCTACACTCAAAACTCAATGTTAACATTACCATTACCAATTACTGTACCATTGCCCTGATATCTTTTTTTATCACAGAAAATGTATACCCAAAGGTATACGGTTTGAGTATTTTTTTTAAAATTTACTATCATGTCCAGATCATGATATATCAAAACCAGACGTTCTGGTGCAGTACCGTGACAAGCTGCCTGGGGGCCCAAAATCAATCATTTCGAGCATCTCTCATGAAGACCTACCAAATATCAACTTGAAGATAATCCATCTAAGCCTTCTCCAGTTATGCTGTTGACACACACACAGAGCCATAAAACATAACCTTCTAAAGTTCTAGGCAGAGGTAATTAGCCGAGACCAAGGTAATCACACTGTTCATTCTGATCTGAATACTCCCTAGTCCCTACCCTAGTGGCTGTCTGGTTCTGACTGTAGTCCACAGGCTGGCACACTGGGCTGAACCCAGGGTTCAGGAAGGTGGTCATCAGGAACTGTAGGCGTTACAGAATCAATATGTTAGAAAAGGTATAAAAAAAATGTTTGCCTCCGTCCTTGATTTCCAAAATCCTGCCATTAAATTTATCTGCATTATGTATGGTAGGTGGAACCTATCAAAATCACGATTAGAAGAAGAAAGTGGCGTTGGATCAGACACACACTGCGAAAACCGCCAACGTCCATAACGAGAACAGCCCTAGACTGGAACCCACAGGGGAAACGTCACAGAGGCAGACCCCGCATCTCCTGGAGAAGAAGCGTGAGGAAAAATCTGGAGAAAGCCAACATAACCTGGCAAGAGACCAAGAAGATTGCGAAGAACTGGAAACGCTGGAGACTACTCACAAAGGCCCTGTGCTCCCGAGTGGGCGAAGAGGACTAAGTAAGTAAGTTGTATGGTAGGCAAATATGACTGACCTTAATCTTCATTCAGGAAAAAAAATTGTAGGGCAAATCTTATTTAGAGATGTATAATCTACACATCTCTGGGTGTATCTTGACTATAACAAACAAATCATCAATAACAAACATAGCATTCAACAAGAACGCTTGATGCTGGATACTGATTATGTACCTCGTAAAAGATGTATCCGTTCCAGGCCACGAGGACACCGTTGTAGGGCGTCATGAACCAGCGAAGGTCAAAAGGCTTTCTCTTGGCCATGAACTTGGGGCCCTGCCACACGAACAGGAGGTAGAGAAGCACCAGGCCATAGGTGAGGAGGGGCGAACTGACGAACGGCAAGTCTTTGGTCCGCGGGTCTGGAAAATGGTTGATGAATCTTTGTTAAGAGTTAATTATCCAATTTCCAAATTGCATTTCTGGTGACAATGTAGTCTCAACCAGACTCCTTTGCAGGTTGAATAAATGGGCAAAATTGGCCTAAAAAGGGATACAATTGGCCAAGGCAGTTAGCAGGCAGGCTTTTAGCTAGGGGGTGTCCAGGGTGTCTTTTGGACGCCCTGTACTGAAAATACTAAGAAATTGGACGCCCTACTTTTTGGTAGGACACCCTAAAGACGCCCTGTTTTTTTTCCACTCCCAACCCTGCCTTGCACACATGCCTCCCTTCAGCCTTACTATAAATACAAAAATGATGGTTTACTGAAGGAAAAAACTCAAATTCCTCAAAATTTGTAACTCAAAATGCAAAAAGTAGTGTTTGAGAGCATTTTGACTTTCAAAAAAGGCCCCTTAAAAAGCTTGTGCACCGTGCATCTTTGCTGAGCATAGCATACAATGCAAAAAATGGACGCCCAACAAAAAAATCCTAGCTAAAAGCCTGTTAGCAGGCCATATATAGTAGTACCAATACTGGTAGTTGATTTTAACAACTTATTCAACCTGTAAAGGAGTCTGGTAGAGACTAATGAGAATGGTGTACCAGGAATAGTTGACACTATACTGTAAGTTCATTTATATTCGCGAAGATTTTTTTCGCGAAACAATTTGGGAGTTTGTGAGGTCTTTGACTTTGCCAGTCTGTATTTTTTCCAATGTCGTCACCATGGAATGGACCGATATGCCGACAAGGTCCTGATTCATGCTTTTGAGGTAATGCCCTTGTAAATATTTGTGCTGAATGTAACTTTGATACAACTTACAGGGTTATCATTATTACAGTGGAAAATACCTACTCACCTGAAGTGGACTCCGCCCACTGATGGAATGCTTTAAGCCTTTCTACTACGGCTGCCATGGTGAATTCCTTCTACACACAGAAAATAACAGTTATTGAAACAACAGTGGACTGGAGAAAGAACTCAAACCTATTTTTCTGGTCAACCACCTTTTCTCTCTATAAATAGCAAGACACAGGCCCAACATGTCAACATACCATTCATATACTCCATTTCAACTTTTTTGCAAGGAAATTTCATATATACTGTATTCCTGCAAATTACTAAAAACATATATTTACAAATCATACTGAAAGGTGTACAGTTGTAACTAGAAAGACATCCTTTTTATCATTCTCAAGCCAAGGGCTTGCAACTGGATAGATTCTAGTAGTATAAATAGCAGAACACCGGCAACAGGCACACAATTGTTACATGTACATTATTGGGGTGTGCATAAATATAACTAAAGACAGTAATCTTCAGTGTCTGACAGGTCATGAATCATAATTAGAGGGACCATCTGTCACTGATGAGTGTATGTAAAACAGGTGCCCTATGTCTGGCACCTATGTCCCTAGAGACTGATTCTGTCTGTCAATCAAAATTAGCAGTTCATCAACCAACCAGAGATACTAGTATGTGTGTGTAAAATTCTTCCATTCCTACATTTTGTGCTCCAACATTTTCGAAGTGGGCGGGGCAATGGAATCAGTCAATTAAATGTGCACAGTTGACATGACATGACCATGGTTCCTTTCTATCACAAGGTTTTTGCTCTAGGGAAAATTCTCTCACATACATATATGGTAAGTCTGCTTACATGTTGGGCCTTTTTAGGTCCTTTAGGATATGGCAGTATGGATACTAGTCTTTGTTTGAGGCCTAGGGATATCAATGTTATGTAAGTGCATGACACAGGTCTATGAATGAAGGTACTCAGTCATAATCATAGATACTAGTAATCTCTCTTTGATCCACAACTACAAGTACTAGTATACAAAATGGCTGTCCTCTGGGAGTTAATCTAGTGCACATTCACAACATACCACAGAACATTTTTCAAGGCAGCTAGGTGATTTCCTAACGTTACATGTAAAAAACAAAACTGAAAAAAAAAATGTATGTTATACCAGAGTCCTTGGTTATACCAAGCGAGTTAAAGCATTTAACCTCCTTGGTTATACTAAGCAATTTGCAATATTTTATTAGCAGAGCAACAAAAAAAATCATGACAGTGAATATTGCCATTATTCTACCAAGGTGGTTATTATAAGTCCTTGGATCAAGGATATAACGTTAGTGCACTGCTTGACATGTTGTCCTGACCCTGACATATTAGGCATCATTTTCTAATTGTCATGCTAATTTGTAACTTCACTCAAGGTAATTTGGGGAAGCCCCACCCACGAAAAGGGACAAGCAATTTTAAGTCATGCAACCAAACCCCTTTTAACAAGCTGCACATATTGCGATACATGTACACTTCAAGTTCAGTTGGTTGAATTTTCATCACGAATTTTAATGAACATCAGGTGGATGATGAGATGGGTGGGAGGGGGGCAGATGTTTGTTTTACCACTTACGGTACTAGCACGGTACTAGTATTTTTATAGTCTTTGTATCCAGATCGGAATATTCTGGCGAGATTACGCAACGTCTAGCTAATGTACGGGATTAGTTAGATAAAGCACATACAGTTACATAAGACAAATATCATGTAAAAGTCAAATTTATACTGCTGCTCATACTCATAAATCATACCACAACATCATCGCCTGGTGTCTGATATCATGGGCCAGCTGATATTATTGGGCACCTGTCATCAAAATAAATTGGATCAGTGAGTAGGAAATACTTCTCTGTCTACAGACGTGCCTTTGAACGAGAGCAAGTGTAACGAAAATGATTAAAAACCTACCAGAAGTAACTAGCCGGTACAGGACTTCAGCTTGGTCCCTTGATCGGTCCAAATTCGGGCGGGAAGAAACTCCCTCTTATTTGCATATGAAAGGAACGCCGAATGGAGCCATAGAACTTCAAATTCGGGAGAATGTCGCCACGTGACGAAATTGACCAATCACAATGTCGCTAACAATTCCCTCTATCCTTTAATCTATGTCAAACAGATTTTGATTGGTTGTATTTGAGTCTGCGGTGATGTCGATAGCTGACACTGATTGGCTTATAGGATAACCAATGAGAACGTCGATAAGAAAGTTAATTATCGATAAGATGACTTAGAACACCATCGCTGATTGGTTGTTATGAAGCACATGCAGTAACCCGGCAAATTAATACACACAGACGGCCAGACCGGCTGCCGGACATTACTTACATATACCCAGATTTCCTCGTCATTCCTCACAGGTAGGCCTTTCTATTGTTCTTGGTCGGGATGAAGTTTATAACCTGATAAATCCCAGTACTGTGGGTACCAGGCTGTTGTGAATGTTGGGCAGGTTGTTGGGTTTACGTGCGGTTACATGGAGATCCGGCCTGCATGGTACAACACACCTGGTCTTGCTAATTACATGTATATGAACACTGTGAAATGTATTTAGGTCACTTTTGGGACATTATCTGTCATTACATTGTAGTATTCTACCCCCCCCCCCCTGTGAAAAGGTTTGATAAATTGAACCCATATTCAGCTCAGAGCGGAACATGTATTTTTTTATGATGGCACTCAATTTGCATGTCTAGGTTAGGGTTTAAATATACATGATCTTGATTTGATTTTCATCACCAAGCCTATTAAATACAATTGCTTGGTTTTCACAAATGAGGTTATGGTCAGCAACCAGCTTGGATTTCAGATGTTCTGTCCAGTTACCAGTATCAGCAAGGATTGGGAGGGGGGTGGGTGAAATTTTGAAAAAAAAAAGAGAAAAATATTATAATGTATGGTAAAATATAATATTTTTGGAGGGCTGGAAATAACATTGTACCAAAATTTGCTGAATTTTTAAGCCTACTATTTTTTTAATGAAAAAAAAATGCAAACAATTTTTTAATTTAGACTATAGCATACTAGTATTAGGCTTGGTATTGTCCTTGATAAAATAAACATATCATTATGTTATATGTAAGTCCAATAAAACTTGCCTTACAATATTTTCTACATATTACTTAGGGCCAGACAACATTTTCATGTAGAACTCAGTTTATTCATACTATAATCATAGGCTTTGGAAAGGTCTGTTCCCATGATCCCTGCAATTCTATATCCTGACACTAGACTAACATCACGCCATCTTGTTAGTCCACAGTTGTTTACCCACGGCAAAGCCGAGAGATTCCTGTTCCCCATTTGTAGATTTCTATGTGCCTTTGTGTCCCTTCCAGAAGAATTTTGCATTTCTTTGTCATCAACATACATTTGCCCCCCAGTCTTAAGATAAGCAGAGTCAATACTGTTTGTTTGTGGTACATACTTGTGATGTTGACACTCGACACTATTTAATTTTTAATTGAAGCATGAAGGTAGAACTAGAAGGCTTGGAGCCTTTTGTAAGCAAAATTACAAAGTAAAAAACCAACAAAACCATTTGTCCATTTATAAAAGCAAGGAATCATCTTAGATTAGAAGTATTTTATACAAACAGTTGTAAGAAAATGTATCTAAGTTAATGAATGTACAACAAATGTATTTTGTCAGTAAGCAGCCTAATTAAAATGTCCCCAAAAATGGAAGTTTCTCCCTACAACTTAGTAATGCAAGGGCATTTTATGGTATATAACATCCTTGCTATTATATGATAGTGCAGTCATCAACATGAACTTCTGTATGAGCCTGTAAGTTATTAGTATTACTTATAATATACAATCCATGATATACCTTTAGCCAGTTGTATATACTTGTTGCTATGGGAAGTAACTGAACTCTGAGCTATGTTCTTTGTCTTGAAAGCTAGTATCTTAAGGTGTGGCATTGATCCTTGCTATTGTTTTTGGGTCATTGTATACTGGAGAAAAGAATCTAGCATGGCGGTTACGTCGGACAGGTGTAATTGTGTTTGGGTGTAAGGTGAGAAGAGAGAGCCACATTGGTAAGAAATGTGAAGACATTATGTCTTACAGCTATTATGCCTACCTGCCTGCCTAAGTGCCCAGGCCAGGTACTGGCCCCTTGCTCCCCTCCGTCAGGTTCCTCCAACCAGTTCTGTCAAGAGCGATAGCCTCAGCTACACTTAGAGTAATCCCTGTGTCACTCTGGATCTGATCTTTCCACCTCTTGGGTGGTCTTCCCCGGGGTCTAGGGTTTTGGAAGTCCTGATGGTACGCCTTATAAACTAGCTATTATACTGTTTTATTTTATTTTATTGCAAGACCAAACCAGTTTTGAGAGGAACTGGTTAACTTACTACCACTAGTACCAGTTACTTAAAAGTTATTAACCAATTCCTCTAAAAACTACTTTGGTCAGATAGTCCAATAACACTTTCAAATGCCAAGTGTGAATTCCAAAATATTTTCCTTTGTTTTAAATTTATCTGTAGGAAGTACTAGAAATAAAACCATAAAAGAGGTTCATGCTTTATGTTGATATTTACATGGGTGATGCTTAACAATTGCACTTCTGCTGTTTTAGGTTTTTAGGGACCATGGATCTTATAACTGACAAGATTCAAGAGGGACTGAAGTACTATGAGTGGTGCCTCAGCTTTTCAGGTGAGGACATCAAATATCTGTACCTGTACACGATGTACATGTGTGTACAAAATAATTGTAGTACCTTTTCCAGGGCTGGAAATACTGGGTGCATGTGCACCTTAGTGCACCCAAAATTGGAGCTGTGCACCCAATTTTTTTCTGTGGGTGTACAAGTGCACCCAAATATTTTCGTATCAAAAGTATTCAGGATATTCTTGTCATTTAAGTGTCGAGAGCCATAAAAAAAAAGATGATGTCAGGTATTGTACAAACCCTGCCTAACGATACAAAATTCCTTCAATCCAGACCCGCGCGTGGCGGACTGGCCCCTGATGGACAGATGGGCTCCCACGCTGTACCTGACGGCAGCGTACCTGCTGATCGTGTGGCTGGGCCCCAGGCTGATGGAGAAACGGAAGCCCATGGAGCTGACGTGGCTGATGGTCCCGTACAACTTCGCCACTGTGCTGCTGAACCTTTACATCTGTGTGGAGGTCAGTACATATAGAATACTACATGGTACAGGGCTGGAAATACTGCGTGCATGTGCACCTTATAATTAGTGCACCCAAATTAGTTATTACATGGGCCAGAACAGCTGTATTGAAAGTTACTGCAGCCCAGTTATGACACAAATGTCACAACCTTCGGTCTGTTGGGCTGCAACTGCAAGATTTTGAGACTTAAATTAAAACCATAAAGTTCTACTGTGTTTAACTTAAGATGTGCAATTATATTTTATTAGGATGATTCCAAAAATCTACTAGACGTATCTCCCGTTAGTATGAGACTGACACTTTTGTATGTTTTATTTCAGCTGGTCACGGCATCCTGGTCTGCAGGGTACAGCTACTCCTGTCAGAGGGTCAACTATTCCTATGATGTCAATGAAGTCAGAGTGAGTCCCACCACTATTTTATTTGTTTTACCAGCTTTTGTCTTCAAAACTTAGAGAGACTAGGAAGATTAGACATCCAAGTAATGAGATATGCAAGGAACTTGTTACTCTGAAGCAACTGGATAGATTCTGTCAGATGTGAAATTTTAATTATGTTTACCAAAGGAAAACATATTGTTTTTGCTTTGTTTCTTCTTGCTTCCAAACACTGACCTCTGACCTGGTCAATGACTTGAACCAGACTGTCTCTCACCATGGTAACTGGTGTTGGGTTACATAATGTTTCAATTTTATAGTAGGAGGGATTTAGACTCCTGTCACCATATATGACTGAATGTGTTTGAGTAAGAGCAGACCATATGTGAAGGTAAACATTATGCATTTGCTTTGAAGATGTTACCTTTCTAGTATCAACTAAGTAGTACTTTTCATCAGTGACCTGTTAAAGTGTGTTGTTTTCAAGCACAAAAAGATCACACTTGTGCTTCTTAGCAGTCACAAACAATAGAAATGTTATGTTTTTCTGAACCACAGATAGCGAGCGCCCTGTGGTGGTACTTCATCTCCAAGCTGCTAGAGTTTGCCGACACGTTCTTCTTCATCGTACGCAAGAAGAACAGCCAGATCTCGTTCCTGCACGTGTACCACCACACTACCATGTTCGCGCTGTGGTGGGTCGGGATTAAGTGGGTGGCTGGGGGGCAGTGTAAGTACAATATGTTTGTAGTGTAAGTACAATATATTTTTAAATCGTCCAACGTGACATTGTTGTGTTCTGTTGAAAATGTGACATGTTTGTTTTGATAAGACAAAATCCACATTTGTACTGATTATCATCAGTAAATAAATGTGTATTTCTGTCAGTTGTTCATTCCAACATCACAAAACAACAAAATAAAGATTAACATGTGGCTGTGAATCATGATACAATGTACATATAACTGTTTTCATTATTTTTTTTCCTCTGGTTGCAGCCTTTTTTGGTGCCATGATGAACTCTGGTGTGCACGTGCTGATGTACACATATTATGGTCTGTCCGCAATGGGCCCTCGTTTCCAGAAGTATCTCTGGTGGAAGAAGTACATGACTGTCATACAACTGGTGGGTAATTGTTTTTTGAGTAGTGAAAAATCTTTTTGTCTGGGAAATGTAAAACAGTTCTAAGAAGCAGGCCATTTGGCCTTTTTGGGGGAGTTTTATGCATGTACTATTGGTGTAGAAAAATAATTAGATCCAAAGAAGCAGGCTTACAGTATTATGCAGTTTTTGGTAATCCTATAAAACAGTGTTTTATCTGGAGCAATAAAGGAAATGCAAATTCATAAGTCAGTTTTAGAGATAGCTGAAATTTCAACTTGTTTTTGTCCCAACATTTCATAGATTTTGCCTTGAATCGAGTATAATATATGCTGTAAAGTTCACTTTTACCATCATAGTCTGTTGCCTGTTACTAAAGACATGAGGTTTTCCACCTTTTGCAGACCCAGTTCTTCATTGCGTTTGGCCACTGTGTGCAGTCCTTGTATGTAGAGTGTGACTTCCCTGGGTGGATGCACTGGGGCCTGCTGATCTATGCCACTTCACTCATCGCCCTCTTTGGAAATTTCTACATCAAAGCTTACAAGTGAGTACGATTGTTTATGTATATCAGTAGTTGTTGTACGTGGTTGATTATGAAAGAGTTTTTGTTACGTTGCGTTACATTGATTTAACATTACAATGTGTCTTAATGTCCCTGGCATGTACAGGTTAGATGTGACAAGTCATTTGGTGTAATATAACCAGCTTCTAAAGGTGCAGCGTGCCTGCAAAGCTGGTGTGTTACACTGAAGGTTGGCAGTTACACTGGCTATACAGATACACTGTAATAATTTGCCAATGATTAAAAAACATTGTGTATGTCTAATATTACATGACGGTGCATCTTGTTTCTTTTTCTTCCATTCTGCTTAACACTAAGATAAGCAGCAAAAAAGTCTTCATTTATCTCATTCTTTTTTTTTTTAGGAAGCCTAAAACTGCTGTAGGAGCTGGGAAGACATCAGACAAGGACAAGACAGGGAACGGACTACAGCACAAGAATGGGTTCATACAAGCCAAAAAACAGCAGTAGAATAAAAAAAACGACAACAGAATGTTTGTGTAGTACCAAATGTTGTTGACTTAAGCCACGATCGTGAGATTGACTTAGAAATATTGCATCACGTAAACATGCATCTATGATTTAGAAATGTAGTTTTAGAAGCTTGAGAAGGACTGTGTAGGATAGTACTCCCTAGCCTAAATGATGTGTGTATGATGATTTTATGACGTATCTTTTCAGCATGAGCATTTCTAGTAAATTCTGAATAATTAGGATATGGAACAGGAGATACTAGTATACATGTTACAATGTAGTGTAGTTTTAGGCTGTATTGTCTAGTGATGTTGTGACAGATGACAAAAAATGGTGTATGTGGAAATGGGCTAGAAAAATGATTGTGGGAAAGAATATTAACCTCCAAATGGCTTCAGGGACTGATGAAACACTAGTTCTTGCACAAACGCGTACAAAGGAAAGCAATAACAATAATTCTTCAGTTCACCTGAAGAATGTTTTACCTCCCAACAACATCAATTTCATATAGGATAATCACTATGGTATATACTTACTCGAGGAGGATCGCTTTGGTTAGTATAATATACTTACACTATGGTATACTTAACTGTTATTCATGTTAGTATGACAGAAAATGTCACTAATATTGCCAAACTCTCATGATTATGTAAATGTAAAACAAAATGCCACGATGTATTGATTTTTAAACAATTTTGCAGGGAAAGTCAGTTAGCGATGGCAGGTTTTGTATTGGATATTTATTTTTTTTCAAATGCTTTTAGGTGCTAGTAATCAAGGCTGAATAATATATTGCACGACTGTATTTGAAGCAATTTGACTGAAAAAGTGATAATCATAGGGGAACTAGATGGACAAAAGTCTATCATTAGATGCAGTAGATAATTCTCCAGCTAAATTTCTTATATTGATAAGCTCATAGAAAAGGCGTAGCAGTGAAGGAACTAGAAAGTGGACCACAGAATTGATTATGCAGTATTTGGACAATCTTTTTTAATTATGTGGAAGTTGTACTCAATGTTTTGATGTCAATGATGATGAGATTTTATTCTGAAAGAACCATTTTAATTGTATCAGGAACAATGTTACTAGTCACAGATATGTGACATGTAGTGGTATGTAGGCAAGCAAGATACACGTTATCCGTGATACAGCTATGATATAGCTTTGAAGTAACACTGATTTAAATAATATGAGAAATATAACCAGGTATTGTATATATGGAATATTTTCTGCATACCAAACTGTCGCTTTTTTTTTACATCTATAATTTGATGAATTGACATTTTGTTCAGACTGTAGCAGCTGTTTAACATTACCAGTATTTCTGTAAGTTTATGTGCAGGTGGTGGATTTCGTATTTTTTGTACATGTAGTTATCTATGCAACGGTGATGTTATTAGTCTTGAATCAGCAGGATGAGTATAAAATTCATTCAAATCTGCCAAAATGCAAATGGTTTGTGTTGAATGTGTATAGAAAGCATGTTGTGTATACATTGTAAGTGCTGTATGATGTGCTTGTTGAAGACCACTTTGCATGTGGTAGTCAGAGTTGGGCTATTCCATACTCCCTAACTAGTACTAGTAGTTGCCAGTTGTTATTCCCTGCCTTGTTTACTATATAAAAGAGGTGTCTCCAGAAAAGGAGAATAAGAGGCCTGTAAATTGGCACAAGTGAAAGTAGTATGAAAGTTTGTAGGACTTACTAGTAATCTACCTGATTTTTCAGGTTTTGAGGCCATTGCTTGTATAAATGCTGTGCAAATGTTTCTTTTGTCTGAAGTTGTAATTGCTGAGAAAAATCTCATGAAATAAGTGTTGTCATTTAGACAAATGACTGAAGGACATGGAAATAAAATGAATACCCATCTTCATGTAAAAAGGGGTCTTTCATTTTTGACCTACTTTGAAAAACCTGGTAATTTTGGCATTTTGCATCTAAAAATGTTTTGTGTCAACAAAGAACGGTATTACCCTGTATGCAAACATGCGATTACAGGGTAGGCAATCCTTTTTCCTACATACCAGCACTGATGCATGTAACATTGAAAATTACCTGCGACAGACAAATTTTAACTGCACCACTCAGGAAGTGCAGATCACATGGGCCAGTGCAGGCTAGCTGCACATAGACATCAGAAATACCTACACAGCTTCAATTTTACCTGCACTAACCTGCATATACCCAGTACATGGACCAGTGCAGGCTCGCTGCACGTAGACATCAGAAATACCCACACAGCTTCAATTTTACCTGCACTAACCTGCATATTCCCAGTACATGGACCAGTGCAGGCTCGCTGCACGTAGACATCAGAAATACCTACACAGCTTCAATTTTACCTGCACTAACCTGCATATTCCCAGTACATGGACCAGTGCAGGCTCGCTGCACGTAGACATCAGAAATACCCACACAGCTTCAATTTTACCTGTACCCACCTGCATATACCCAGTACATGGACCAGTGCAGGCTCGCTGCACGTAGACATCAGAAATACCTACACAGCTGCAATTTTTTTAGCCCTAGACTGTCAAACCTTTTATGTCTACAGTCTAGCTATTTCACAATGATTGTGGCACTGGACAGAAGATATGAGAAGGCATGGGCTTGTGTCATATTTGTGATAGGACATCTCCTTGGTGCTGAACTGGTTATCACTATAACATATCTGATACGATCTCTCCTTAGTGCTGAACTGGTTATCACTAACTATTACATACCTGTGACACTGACAGGACCTCTCCTTGGTGCTGAACTGGTTATCACTAACTTTTACATATCTGTGACAGGACCTCTCCTTGGTGCTGAACTAGTGATCACCAACTTTTACATATCTGGAATAGGACCTCTTCTTGGTGCTGAACTGGTTATCACTAACTATTACATATCTGTGATAGGACCTCTCCTTGGTGCTGAACTGGTTATCACTAACTATTACATATCTGTGACAGGACCTCTCCTTGGTGCTAAACTGGTTATCACCAACTATTACATATTATGTGTGACACTCTTGAGTGGGTCCAATGAAAGTGGGACTCATCAGTAGATGTTGGAAGTTAGGAAGCTCATAGACATGCCACAGTTCCCGTTTCAAGAACATCAGTATCCTCTTATGATATTAGGAACTTATAGAAATACTATCCATAAGGACTTGAGCCAGCACCATGGAACATGCATACTACATGTACAATCAATAATTTTCAATGACAACGTGTTTCAACAGCACATATGGGTTTATTCCAATAATTGTTACCTTCGTTACTGTTACTAGTTGGCCCTCTTATAATTTATAACTGTGTTTGGATTGATACCGTAGCTTGATTATTCATGAACACTTTCTTGAACAGAGCAGCTGGAATTGTGAAAGCAATATAAGGCATCCATAATTATCATTCTTTCATATACATGTATAAAGGTAATAGATTTCTGAACATACAATTTCTGTAAAAATACAAAATATATGCAAGGAGGAAATTTTTACTCTTCCATCCCAAAATACTCTGTACATAATTACATTGAATAGCACTGATACTTCTGTTGCAACCTGTTTATGTGATTCAAAGATGACAAAACACTAACAATGCTTAGTAGAAGCCAAATTTCAAGTTATAGACTCTTGCAGAAAGCTGTGGCAATTTTACAGCACAAGACTGTGTGATACCAAAGCTGACAAAATACTAAAAAAAAGAAAAGCAGCAACAAAGCTTGCAAGGGTCTGTTTACAAAAAGATCACCCTGTCTATGTTTAACTACTAGCTTGTCACAGAAAAATCTCTATATCTTACAAGTATGTGCTCTATACATAGTACTTAACTTGCATTTAGAAGATCAAATGATCAGTTTCTTTGTCAGTAATCCACCAATGGAAGACTATTACTTTAATAGTGATTTTTATGTGTTTTTCTTGTGTGATAAGTCGCGTTTTCAGTAGTGATGTACATGTACATCATGTCTTCTTGACGCTCATGTCCAGAGGCTCTTCTTGTTCACCACTGTCATCTTTGTCCTTTTCACTGTCTGTTCCTCTATCTTCTGGCGGATGCTCAGAGGGAGGGAAGAAAATGTGATGTACTTTTGTCCTCTTTGGGGAGGGAGCCTCCATGATACGTACGTGCACACGTGCCTCAGCTGACATGGCCTGATGCTGGGGGTACGGCTCTGTGGCGGCAGAACCTGCAGTTTCTGTGGCTTCTTTGGTGTTTTTGGACACGTCCAGGCTTGCTGTGGGGTAAGGAGTTGCACCATCCACCGAAAATCTCCTTTTCTTGAAAATAGGTGGGGCGGTGGTGACGGACGCCCGTGGCACATTGTCCGTCGTTCTGTGATACCCTTTACTGGACACAACTGATGAAGGCATCGCCTGGTGATGAAGCATCCTATTCAGTTCTATATACTGTGGATCTACGCTGGGCCTGAAGTTCTTCACAGTTTGTTCATTGGAAGCTGGTGTATCCTCCGATCTGTATGGTATCTTGATCTGTAACGTGTCTTTTTCCACTTTTGTCACAGATGTAGCATTTTCTACCTCTTGCGGTATCGAATGGGATCTCTGAAACATTTTAGCGTCCAGAGCTTGGCCGTATCCGGGGGTTACAGACGATGATCCGCCCTGTGTGGGCATTTGCTCGCCAGATCCACTTTCTGGCTTCATTTGCATAGAGTCACGTGAAGAGACGTTTTCGACACTACTCCCGTACAACCTTTGCGTTTCATGCTGCGTGTTGCCGAAGTTGCTGCTTTGGGGTTTGGCCTCTCGGTTCAAGTCGTCGTCTAGAACACCCATCCTGTTGTGTGGCTCGTTGGTGAGAGGCGGTGGGTTACGCGGCGCCGGGCCACCGCTCGTTGACCCGCTGCGATTCCTTCGGCGGTTGGCGCGATCAGCGTGGATGTCTTCCAGCCCTTTCAGAAACCTGGGTTAAAAAGTTGGACAAACCTTTAAACACATAGCTGGGGCAAATGTACCTGAATGGGTTAGGATGTATTCAATACAAAGGACAAGCCTAATGACTTAATGTAATTCCTGATTTTCTCGCAGTACTTTTAAAGTTCACGGTTTTCGCTGCCTTTTCCACAGACTTATCATTACCGTGATTATAATTCGCCAACTTTCTTTTTTCTGTACCTGCTTCCACCATGAACATAATACTTCCCTAAAGACCTCCACTTTTCTTAAACGACAAACTTTTGCTACTGTGCACATAATGTGAATTACAGTAGTTGGAAAAAAGAATGTCTGGCTGGCATGTTTCCAGCTTGGTCCCTTGTACACTAGTTCACCATTGTTTAAGACATTGCAGGGAGTAGACTCTGACCTGTAGGTGAGTCTCTGGGACCCTTCCTTCACCAGGATGTCCATGCGGTAGTAGTACCTCATGGCGCGGGACAGTTTCTCGTACGTCATGTTGTCTCGGTTCTTCTGCTTCCCCCACAGCCTGGGAACAAGATCACAAAAGTTTTGTGATGTCAGCACACAAAGTACCCAAAGAACCTAAAGTTAGTGAAAGCAAGGAAGATCCTTGGTGAAAGTATGTAGGGCATATTGTGTTAACAGAAGCAGAGAGAAGAAAGAAAATGGGCATATGGCAAAGGATTTTAATGTCAGAAAATAGTAGTATTTACTCAGCTGGTATCTCAAATAAACTGATTTGAAAAACCCAAAGTCTGTCAGTTGTTCATGCCCCTTTGATCGCATCTTCCATACATAAGATATTATAATGTTAGTACAGTGAGAAGTTTTTTTCTGTCAGAGAACTGGGTTCACCTTGCGATGGCGTTGGCATTGACAATACGGAAGACCTTTCTGGGTTTGTCGAGCCACTTGATGGCGTGTTTGTACTTTTCCTCATTTGCCAGGAGACGTAGCAAGAACTCCCACAGCAGACGGCATTCTGGGAAAGGGAAGAGCACAGTGGGAACAGTTAGAAAGAAAAGTACACGTTCGATGCATATGAATTTGAATATTTTTGCCTTGTTATGTTATGTCAATTCCAAATGCATTAGGAGAGGTTAGAATCACCTCAAAGTTTGTGATGCTGGAATATTGTTGTAATAAAAGACAGTTTTCCTTCTTTGAAACATATATGCCAATTTACCAGGACGTAGTCAAGAAAACATTGATGTACAACTGTCCTCTATTTTCTATAGGAGGAAAGTGAACTATCCGAGAATTAAAATAATTCAATTTCTAACATGCAAACATTTTGTATACTGACTATGAGCTGACTGTCCATGCATGACATTGTAAGTCAAACAAGTAAAAAATCCTACGTACTAGTACCTCTGACGGGTGCCCCTGGTGGTGTGTTGGTCTGGGGTGGGGGTTTCTTCCTGTAGCCTGGCCAGTAGATCCGTGGTCTTCCCCTCCCTCGTTTCACCGGGGGTGGGGGTGGGCCCCGGGGGTCGGGGTGGGGCATCGGCAGGATCGGCACATGGCCTACAGATTAGGACATCACAAAGATGAACAATCTAATAACACACCTTGTTCTTTATTTATGTGGTCATCATAATTCTGGTTCTTTCTACAAAAATTCCCCACATCGTGTTGTCACCTTTTTAAAGCACTTCGGCAGAACGTACTGCACCTGCATGTTTTTTCACTGTTTTTGTTGGATGTTTGGTCAACATTGGATAAGAATTTTGCCTGTTGCAGGTGGTATATTTCTTGACACAACAATTGAAAATTGTAGTCGAGACATCCTTAAATATGCAAATACAACCTCAAACAAGACGTTTTGCTCAAGTGCTATGCACAATACATTACAGGTTTCATGCAGGTACAATACGTTCTGCCGACGTGACTCCTTTTCACCAAACACCAAACCATCTGTGATTATCCCATATAGCTGAAATAAACATTATCCACCACTGTAGGGATCTGGAAGAATGTGAGAGCAGGGACAACTACACTAAGAGCAATTTGAAACTGCAGAGGCCACCAACACCCTTCCACCCCCGCCATTTCAGTGATGTTACGACCTGGACCTTACGTGTGATGACACCTTGGAAGGGCTTAATGTCATTAGTAGGGGTGGGCAGAGTTGTGGGAGCTCTAGGTGGTGATTTAGAGTTGTGGACCCTTTCCCAGAACTCCTTACGGAATTCCTTTCTATCCCGTGTCAGGATCTGTCTCAGGATTCGTGGCTGTGCAACTGCTGTTTTCTCACTGGGTTTGTCTACAAATCAAACACATTCATTACTCCTTGTGATCAAGTTTTCTTTTGTTTTACATGTAACATTGTTAACCTACATTAACATGGATCCACCAGGTTCTATATATTTTAATCTGGGAGCCATCCGTTTTGTACTCGGGTTATAACAAGTGCAAGGAGCCCTGTTACAAAATGGATGGCACCCAGGCCACATATATTTGCCACTTTAAAAAGCAGTCTGTTAGATATCTCTTGAGTAACTAAGGAGGTGTAACATCCCCCAAGCGTTTTTTTAAGGGTGGCAGATAACTTTGTTATATGTGAACTGGCAGAATTATGTCAACAGACATTATGTTGATAGGTGTAAATTAACCAATCGTATTGTTAACAGTTACTATCTAGCTTGCTTGTTGGTTAATCGGCCAACTTCTTACCTTCATGGTTGACAGGTTGTTGGACCACTGGCTCCACAGTGTTAGCAGTGGCTGTGTCTGCTTCATTACCCTGATCTTGCCCTTGAAAACACAGCAAGTCAGTTTTCATAAGAAGGAGCACGAGATTGCAGTTGCAGAAGCGATTTTATATAGTTTTTTATTTATAACTTAACAGGTGGATATGATCATTGTGTGCTACGGTAAGTTGGCCCTCCTTAATGTTTTAGTACCTAACTTCCGCTAATCAAGTTTACACGATATCTTTTTTGAATAACGTTAAATAACTCACCAGTCACGTTTGCTGGTTCCTCATCTCTAGGTTCTGTCTTGATAGTTGGGAAGCTCTGTTGGTTTGTGACCTGTTCATGACCTTGTCTGCTCTCAGGGTTCACCCCATAACGGTCCTCCGGGCCCTCGGGCTTCTCGACCTTGACCCGTACCTCTGTCATCCCGGGGGTGTGTTCCTGGGGCGGGGCGCTGGGCGGGTCCTCTGGCCGACTACTGACCGGTCTGTCCTGCGGCCTGCCTCCGAGGTCCTGCACCTGCTGTCCTTGTGACGAGACGCTAGGGGGCGCTGTCGGGACGGTAAGTCTGTAGATGGGCGGAACGGGAAGCGTCCGGAGGTTTTGGTCACTTGCAGAGTTGGGCGGGAAGACAAGTCTGGGAGGCTGATCAACGGACGCTGGTGGCAGATACACCTGGCGTTCCCCGCTTGTAGGCACTTGTTCGGGGCCTCGGTCCCTCTCCTGCCGGGAGTACTGAGGGAAAACTGGAACTGGAAGGCGGTGCCTGGCGACCATCTCTTGTAGAGGTTTGCCGTCCGGTCCCAGGATTTGTGCGGGGATAGGGAAGCGCATGTAGGGGAGGAAAGGCGGCGGCCGTGCCCGGAGCTGTTCAATGGTGCTCAAGAATGGCAGCCTGGCATCTCCACGGATGAGCTGTGGTCCGGCCAGGGCAGTGTGGCCAGGTGGGACGGCTGGGGGCATGTTTCCATCCCGAAGTTGTGTATGGCTTGGTTCCGATGCTTTGTCGGACGCAACGGTCGTCTTTTGAGACTTCAGACCATCGACACTGGCCGTTTCCTGCGTTTGCATTGACTGTGCATCTGCCCTTTCCTTCTCTTGAAGATCGACTGTTGACTCATGTTGCTTTTCCCCATTCTTTGAGGGGCTTACCACCTGTTGTGCGGGCAACGCGTGTACCTGCGTCAAATGCGGTTGTTGAAGGACGGCTGCCTCCCCGACCACTGGCCCGACCTGAGCGGGAGGCCGGACAGAAGAACCCCCTTGCAGGTGAGCCTGAAACTGCACCTGATCGAACGGCCGAATGACCCGACCAGGCTCAGCGTACGCCAAGTACCTTCTCTGAGCCCTCAGACTTTCTTCGTTGATGGATTTGTCGTAAAGTTTCATCCTGCGTGCGTCCCTCTCCCTCAGCTTGGCAAGCTCCCTTTCTATCTCGGGGCACGGGATAAAGATATTCTCCCCAACTCTCTGGGGCTTCTCCGCTGGCAAACTCGGAGGTGACATCATCCGCCCTTGAACTTGAAGAACGCCCTCTACAGTCGGTCCGACTCTGTTGACCTTGGCAGCGCGCTGATCGTGGCTGATGGAATTGGCAGTCTCTCTGGCGACAGCATCTACACTCCATCGTCTTTTCGGGTGCCTTGACAACGGATCTCTCTTGTGACCTTGGACAGAAGCCGACTCCTGGCTTGTCGGTTTGTTCTGGTCTTCTCCACATCGGGCCGAGTTTGGCACGACGGGTGCCACCACAGACCGCTGTATGACAGCCTCCGGGCCGCTTTCTGTTGTTTTTGTTTGCGACGCTGTCGCAATGACGCTGGCGGGACAGTCCTCGATCTTCGTGAGCTCCGGCATGGTGGGGCTTCCTGATATGGCAACGGGGTCTTCCTGGACTTGTAACTCCGGCGCAGAGGACTGCAGATTCTCCTGTTGTTCTTTGAGTTTATGGAGCTGTGCTGAGGCCGTCCGGACTATCTCTGAACTACCGGTTTGACTGCCTGATGATAGGGTCACGCGTTCGGTGACCTCAGGCTTGTCCGTTTCCGATTTCTGGAAACCGACAGGCTGGGCGAGGACGGGGTCCCCCGCGTCCGAGGGCCTGGTCATGCCGGTGGCCCCCGGGGACGACACGGTGATCTGTGGGGACGGGTTGGTGGAGGGAGGGGTGGGGTAGCACACAGGAGCGGCATAGGGCTGGCTGATTGGAATATTGTTTCTCGCTAAGTGCTCGTAACCTGGAGGAAAGGTGGAAACAAGGAACAGCCCTTAATTATTTTATAACAGAAACGACAAAACATATCATAAAAATACAGTAACACTGCACTGTAGTATTGGCGAATGACACAACTTAGCTTTCGTTCAGTTTAACCTTTACACCTTAGCAGAACAGACAAATTTCTATTTCTAATGAACCAAGACACACCTTCGAATATGAAACATATCAGTTCTTATCTTTTTACCATGAAACAAGAAGAAGCCGAATTTACTCAGTTGTATTTGACAATGTATATGAGTAACGTTATCTGTATTTTATTCTTCTGTTGTGACCTGTACTCAACCCAGCGGGTTTGTGTGTACAATAAAGGTCGTCATTCAGAGTCATTAAGTCGTGAAATTAAGCATAAAATCAGAGGTGCGTATTTTTGTACGCCATTTCCGGAAGGGAAGACGTAATTTCCGGCCGGCTCACCTTGTAGCAGGTTGTGGAGCAGGTTGTAGAGGACGTCACCGGCGAACGGCACGCGGTCAGTGAACCCTTCCTTCCCGAGCAGACTCAGCGCCTTCCCGTTCATACCGAACCTCTGCTCGTCCACGCCCGTCAGAGAGAACTCGTCCACCGCCCAGCGAACCCAGGTCAGCACGTCGGCCTTGGTCCACTGGTACGGGTGGATACCGGCTAGGGAAAATGGATAGTAGCATGACTCTCATATATGTGAATCTAGGGTATAAGAGGCCAATATTAAAAATGTTTTATACAGAAGTGAGATGTAACATTGGGCTTTCTTGAAATTTTCAACATAAACTCGGAGTCATTAAAGTCATCCTATGCAATTTCAGGGCGGCAAAACTGGGTTTTCAAAGTCAATTTTCTGGTCATTCTTTTGATGTAGCAAGTTGAACCAATGCTGACCCACAGCACATAAAGAGACGCCTCTTTCTAGGCTAGAAATGGCAGTTAATGTTCAATATCAAACAGATTTTCTCATCCATAATATTTTCGTGTTGCCGCTCTGAAATTTCACTGGATGCCACGAATAGTATTTTTCACGTGGCTTTGTGTATTAAGTATGACACTTACCAAGCGGCATGGGTTTGTTATGTTGCCATGCAGGCATGATGACTCTGGACACGGGAGGTGACGTCACGGTAGGTCGGGTCTGTGTGTTCTGGGAACGAGGGTCGGGGCGCCTGGGGTTGTGGGGTGGGAAGGGGTGCTGCACCCCATCACTGGCCGTTAGCATGGGGTGGTTAAAGCCGAGGTACTGAAGGGGAACTCCGATGCCCCGCGCTATCTCCTGCACGGAAACATAAGGCAAAGGGACGCATGTTATCCATTATACACAGGGCTCGAAATTCATTTTTTGGACTAGGTGCACTGGTGCCCCCAACCTAAAATATTAGGTGCACAAAAGACTTTTGGGTGCACTATATAATACAAAACCTCTTCTAAGCTTGGATCTGAAATGGGAGCTAACTTCAAAATCTTACACAAGTACTACATCAAAGGTTTTATTATTTTTCTGACACCTAGATGCTAAGAATATCCTGTATAACATTATACATTTAATATGTACAAAAATACCTCCAAAAATATTTGGGTGCATGCACCCAGTATTATATTTCGAGCCCTGATACACAAGGCTATCTTCTTCTATACCTGGATTTTATCTGAATGGACGTAAATAGCAACTTTAAGTACATAATGACATGTGACATCCCCTGGTATACGTAGGAAATATATCAAAGGTTGACAAGGTCTAGATTATAGGAATTCTTCCAACGATTGTCAAAAGACCATTTTCATCCTATACTACATTCTCATCCCATCCCATACTACACACTTATATGTAGCATCATGGAATTATAGTTATGTACCATGCACCAGTAGTTGTCATACTTTGTACCTTGTACAATTGTTGATGTTATACAACAATATAACAATAGTTACACACATGTTGTGCATGCAACAAAGTTTATCTATCGTGACATTTAGACATTGATAATATCTCATCCGTTCAAAATGTGAAGAAAGAAGTAACAATGACGTTATATATTTGGAATGTGACTATCTTTTCCATGAGTGCAGTTTAGCCTTGGCTACAAGGCAATTGTTTATTATTATCTATATATGAACGGATGGCCTTGGTTCTGTCCAGGTGGCCCGAGTCAGTTAACATATTCTGATATACGTAATTCATTATATGCAACTATATCAACTTCTATACCAGAATTTCTCGCCATGAATTCATCTAGCAAATTCAGATACTTGTTGACTTTTGACAATCCATACATTGTGAATATAGGACAGTATTTTAGAGAATGTCTAAACGTAAGAAATTCTTTTAATGATTGTATAAGCGCCTTTTCATCCCATATCACCTAGTATTGTACTACGTAGACTGATTTGTTAGATTTGTTCTCTCATTTCTGCCATACTTTGTACCTTGTACATTGTTGAGTAATAAAAGTCTATCTATGTTAACTCGTTTCCGTCTTCAAAAAGAGTCAAAGGTCCGTTGATGAAGGTTGGACATTCACGTAATATAAGATACGCCCAAAAGCAGTTTCACTCCACTCAAGCAACTGGATATGATTTTGGAAACGGTCAGACGTTTCAGGTAGTATCCACTACCTTTCGTCAGTGACTGAGAGACCAGAGGAGAATGCAGGTTTATAAGTCAAAGGTCATCCTATATTTTGGTAAGAAATGCAACGAATGGGCATGGCATCATATGAAGAAGTTTGGTACGGTGTTGCAGATTTGTTCACAGACGTTGTTGAATTCGGTAGGGAAATAGACTACTAGTATTGGCACAGGTATCCAGGTATGGAGCCGTAAAACGTTAAAAGTGTCGCAAAACCATTTCGTAGCACTTAGGACAGAACCACCTCAAGTTTAAAAGCGCTATCTAGCCTCTACCAGGCTTCTGGAAAGAGTAGAAATTGGCCAAATAGAGAGATACTTTGCCAGTAGAGTTGTCCGCTTAAGGAATCATTTGCCGCAACCTGTGCCGAGTCCTTTAGCAGACCTACTCCCCTGGCATGTTACCTGTCTATTTTGCCAATTTCTACTCTTTCCATCCGCTTCTGAAGCCTGGTAGAGGCTATAAAAGCGCCACAAACATGTTCCAGTCCATTTTCTGACCTTCGGAACTCGTTGTTTCCGCGTGTATCGCTGCCGATTCTGTTGTGAGCTGTTATAATGTCGCTCCATTTCCGGGTCAGTTAGCGGACTGGGGGAACCCTGCCCAGCGCCCAGCCCAATGTTTACATTCAAGTCTAGCACGTGCGGCTAGTGAGGACGCGGAAACAAATCTTCGAAAAAAACATTGCTGATGTTGGCAGAGTTTAAACACACAAGAGGGGGCAAATGAGGGGAAATTTCGGGTCTTTCCCTGGGCGCGGAAACACGTTTCTTTTGCGTCATCTTACTTTGAGGACGAATTTCGGCAGGTAGAAGGCCCCAAACTGCATGACTGTACAATTCCATGAATGGCAAATTGCATACACAGTAGAATGTAGCGTATAGGCACTGATGCTAATTTCAAAAGTTTCAATCATAATAACTATTTTGATAGCTTATATAATAGACATATATAAAAGAATGAAGGTACGTGTTCACCAGTACGGATTCATCACAAATATATGTCCTCCTGGCAAGCTATAAAGCTAACAATCGGTTTCATTTTAGAGAATTAATGCAGGAGGTATTGAGAAAACGGAGAAAGTTAGTACAAAATTCTTCTAAGGTTAACAGCCCGAGACCCGGAACGTGTTTTTTTTGCTGTTCTGTAAACTTTCTTGTGCAATTGCCTTTTTTTCAATGTCTTTTCCGTTTCTATTTTCAGAACACTGCACTGGGCACTGAGCCCCACGATTCGTCTCTATCCATTTCACAAAAAAAGTATAGATTTGAAAAGTAATAAAAAAAGAGCTGCATTGAAAGACCCAAGTGCGGCTACGAAAATCAACATGCATGTGCCATGGCCGATCGTTTCTCGACAGGAGTCAAGAGTCAAAGGTCACCAGGTAACAATGCAGTAAGTTTCCAAGGACAAATATGCAATGAGACAAAAAAACGTTTGACGTATTGCAAGGAGACAATGAGTACGATATGTATAAGATAAACTGATCTAATTAATAATTTATCTTTTTGTATATGTTTGCATCGTCATGCATGCTTGGCCCGCCAATATTGTACAATGTACGTGTCAGGTGATCTACGCACACATTGTACCGAGAACTTCAGTCGGTTGGTGCATTGTGTTCTGCTACAAGCTACGCGTTTTCAATCCAGCCTTTCAGTCAAAAGAAAGCACGGATAAAGAATTGTCCGTTTGCAATTGTTAGTCTCTACCAGACTAACTACCCTGGTTATATATAGGAGAATAATTGCCAGGGGGGTTTGGCCGCCTTGTAGGTTTGACTGGCCGCGCAGTTAAAGAAACTACCTCCCCGCGGCCGGACTCACTTGGCCAAGTTTACTCTCTTTTTTGCCGAATTCTACGATCCGTATTCCCTTAGAAAGGCCTGGTGGATGCTATGCAATTGTATCGACAGGAAGCAAGTTCTAGTAATCTAGAAATGACCTAGAAACTGATTTTTTCAGTTCACGTTAAGTGTATAACTGCAAGACAGCAAGGATTGACTTTATAATGTAGATAGCTACCCTACATTACCCTTGAAATATTTCAACTTTTAGATGGAACATTATTTTGTAACACTTTGACAAAAATGTCTTTCCTCTTTAAACTCGAACATCTACGCATTGAAAATTCTGAACACTGCTTTTGAATGCAGCTTTGTGTCACTTTTGTTCGTCTTACTCTCTGGCTTGTTTTTCTTTCGATATACACGTAGTGATTTCAAATCCCCCATGATCAAAATATCAAACAAGCCATGGCTGCCAGGGCACCCCATTGTATTGCGATGTTTGCAATTCTGATAAATAAATAAAATAAAATCACATCCCCCAACACACAATGCGATACTAAACAGATTCTTTCTGATCGGTACGTACGTGCCAAGAAAGGCCGTGTCCATAAAGGTATTCGTCAAAAAACGATGTAAGTCACATACATTTCTTGTGTTCTTCCCGTGCAAGTTTGGCATGTTGAGAAATCCTATAGTACATAATTAATTCTCGTTAATTCCACGAAACAAAGAGAAGTTCTGATAGAATATACATTTGTATCTGCTTCTACTCCAGGACAAGTGACAGAAACAATCTAGGATTCGGTTACCTACAAGATAAGAAAGAACATGTAGCGCCCTACCTGTGGAATGTGAGCGGCGGAGTGTACGGAGTAGATGACGGGCCCAGGTGGAGGTTGCCCCGAGGACTCGTGGCCGCCGCCCGCCCCCGCCATGCGGACTGTGGGGAAACGGAAGATCTGCATGAGTGCGCCGTTCCCCCCGGAAGGTCCCGCCGCCTTGCTCGGAAATACCGACATCGGCAACAATACTTCGCACACACAGACAGACAGCCTGTCCTTACAGATTACACGAAATATCTAACGTCGTTGCGAATTTGAAGGTAGACATGCAAGAACATGTACATACTACACGAGGGGCGGAAAAACAAGTACGTTTAATTATTGATCTTCAAATCTCAGGTGGGGCCGACTGTAGCCGGAAGGCGGGCCAGGCGAGACCAACACACCGGTCACTTAAAAACAAACGATCGCTTTTCGACTGACTGGACATCCTGCATCGGAAAAAAAGAGCAAACAAAACGTTTTTGTACGTAAATAAATAAATCAGTCAGTTTTTTTGTGGAATTACCAGCAATTGTTCCTGTTCAGTGTTGACACACAAAAAAACTTGCCGTGTTTGGCACAGTCCAATGTATGATGTTCTATGTTAAGAGGTCGTTTGGAAAATTTGATAATTGCTGGTCTTTGACGTCCAAAAATCCGACACAAGCGTGTGTCCCCAGGCGAACTAACCAACAATTAGTTCTTGGTTGGACCAAGGAGGTTCATTGAACGCCCTTGGTTAGACTATACTTGCATCGGGAAACTAACACCCAAATACGAACTGCCCACATCATACAATGTATACATAACCTCACAATGCTTTCTATGTCCTCTTTCGACCCTGTACGAAATTTTATGTTGGGTTCATCAAGTTAATGCCCATATAAGGCTATAATGAAAAAAAAAAACACTCCGCATTCAGTTTCGCAGGAAGCTTCCCAACTCTAGAAAGCCGACGTGGCCACAATCCACACTAGGAAAAGTCGTCACTACGGAAGTGCCAAAGTTAAGTAGGATAAAAAAAATGCCAACTCATCCCGCCATTGGAATGTATAACCTTAAGTCAGGGTCACTGCACTGACGGTCGTTCCTAGTCTTGTAGCAAACAGCAATTATTATAGTATTCCGTTTGGATCAGTTCTGCCAAATTTGGTCACTGTTTGTGACTTGAAAATTGTATTGTTTTCCGTTTGCCCGAACCAAAAAAGGTTCCTAGTCTTGTAGCAATATTTTAAAAGAAATCAAGGCGAAACGTCTGAGGCTTTATTAGCATCTTCCTTCCAGAAAGAGAGAGAAAAAAAACACATAATACAAAGACCTAAATGGATTTCTTCTTGATCAAACTGCCGATTTGCCTTTGACGTAGGCCCTCGCCTGACACCCGTCAGTGTTGCCATGCCAACGCTTCCGCCTGCGGCCAAGGTGGCGATAAATGATATCTCAGCACGCGATGTTCCCACACGTCAGGAAGACGGGGAAGGAAAATGAAGAAAAGACGTGGACATACAATATGTACTTCACGGAAGTACGAATATAATACATGTAGTTGGAACCGTAACTGCAGAGCTGTAAGGTAAATCATGAAAGAAGTAGAGAATCTCTGTAGCTCCCCCCCCCCCGGCTATTCCTTTATTCAGTAATACTAATCTTTCACATTACAATGTAGAGGTTTAGGAATCAAAAACTTTAACTACGTAACTTTAACTACGTTCATCCCCAATCGACGATTACACACATAGGTGCACAAATACTTGTGAAAAAATTTCTCATCAATTATTACTTTAACTACGTAACCAGCAAGCCTTGCCATGCAGTGAAACCGTGACGTCGTCATTTACACTATGATCTTCGCTTTTCCTAAAGAGAAAATGTATAAACTCTAAACTGACAAATGTTGACAACACCAGCAAAAACGCCGATCTAATTACAGTATGGCGAGATGGCGTGACTGATATGATAACTAACTTTAGCAGTTGGAAAGGTTAAGGCAATTTCCCCTTGTTAACCTGTGAACTTCTGCTCTCCACTGACAAAGAGCGGCCATTATCTGTCCCCTTCACGGTGTAACTAATAATGGCGGTGCCCCAGGGAGACTCAAAACTCAACGCGACGGACCGGGTTCTAAAAAAAGTGGATTCATCCTCACAAATATCGCTTGAAGTGAGGACTACGCGGAAGTTTAGCCTCCTTCGCAGTCTTGTTGGGTGTCGGCGTTATTTTTTCTCTGAGCGACGCGAGTAATATGCGGCCGTGAGGGACGATTTGCTGCCGAGGGAGTTTTTGCCACGGAGAGAAGGTTGGAGCGGGAAACCTTCTCTCTGGCTAGAATTATGATAAAATCGGCGAAGGCTCCAAACTATGGCTTCTAGTGACATTGTGGGAATGGGAGACCAAAATGGCCACGTCTGTGTGTCTTGTGATTATCGTAATTGCTGAATTACTTCGCCTTGGGCAAAATGGAGCTTTCCTGAGCTGACCATGGTTTTTACACGAACCTCTGTTCTCGATCCATTCTAAGATTAAGATAGTAATTGGCTTGTATTAGGCTTCCCCATTCACCGAATGAAACATATCGAAGTATGCATTGACGTATTCAACTGATACAAATACAGGACCATGTATGGATGGAATCCTCGTTCAAAAAATATAACAGGGTAGCCATATGCATGTAATGCCGAACTTACAGTGTTGTCTCCGGCTTGTGCCGTGCGTCCTTCCGATGGGCGAACACCACATGGTGATGAGGGTGGAAAAATTCGTTCAATTTTTGTCCGGGTTCGAGTCGTGCGGTGTTGTCCTCCACTACAGCAACTTACACTCACACACCTTACTGGATAGGCGCTTACAGAGGGGAGTCAGGGGATATATAGTTGTAACGTAGAATGGACCTCGACTCAATATTGCCTCACTGCTATATACTAAGTATCAGTGCGACGAGACGAAATTCGAAGGAAAAAAAAAATAAAACGCCCACCGCAAAAATCTATCTGGAAGTGGGACTAATTTTTTGAGTTCGCACAAGAAGAGTCATGTGGGGATACTCGTGGTAGTTTTTCTCGGAAAGACCGAGCCTCAACAGAGAGGATGAGGTTTGAACTTGGGTAACCTTCATTGCCTAGTAACGCCATTGAACCCTGCTAGTTCCAGGTACTAGCTGACTCAGTAGAAACAGAGGAGGCATACCTTACAACGACATGACCTGTAGTGCCTTATTGAGTTTATTCACAAAGTGAGGCGCTACAGTAAAGCCAGTCTAGACGTTCTACGGTATGTTACTGTTTCTACACAGCTAGTACCTGGAACTATCAGGGTCAAGGGCTATGCTATGCAATGAACTTTACATGAGTTCAAAGTTTGAAACTTCATCCTTCTGAAGTTCCGGGTTTCCTAGAAAATAACCACTGACACGTACCTGCTCTGCATATCACAACACGGTCTCCCCTCACAGTGAATTTGATGTGTTTTTTTTTTTCAGTTGAATTTGATGTGTTATGAAAACAGAAAAAGACCGAGAAGACTTTGAAGTTTGACGGCTTTAGTTAGCTGAAATTTGTGGCAGGTTTGTCTGTAAGTATCACTCCGAAAGAAAGTATATGCACGTGAATTACATGTACATGTACACGTACGCATGTACGCGTGTTATGCCATCATTGGTCTTTGGGAGTAAATAATGGTACGCTTTGATTGGCAGAAAATCAACTACACTTTACTTTCCGAACCTGCTGAGCTGTATCCATTACTCATATCCTCTCCCCTCCCCCCTCTAAAAACAACGCCAAAACAACAGTCAGATTGGTTATCGTCTGTTGGGTTGATGTCATGAAGGTGTGCCTTGGGGGCTACGCTCCTGTTAACGGTAAACATTAGCTGGTAATGAAACTGTTCAAATTCTTGGAAGGAGACTATTTTTGAACTTGGAAACACTCCCTTGTTTCTGGAATGTCGTATCTCCCACGTAGCTCCGCCATCACTGGGAGAGTTGCAGGAGTTTTGCTGACTGGCGGACTGAGTGACGTGACAAAGGCCAGCGCGGAAGCAGGTGCATGGGGTAACGAGAGGGACCGCTTTCCGCTTAAAAAGGTCACTTCAGATTATTTAATCCGAGACAAAGTTGACTGGAAACGCATAGAGTTGTGCAGTACATGTATTTGTCAACTGTCAACCCAAGCAATCCGGGAAGGTCCCAGTAGACAGTAGTCATCAGAGTGCGTAATCAGACAAAAAAAAATACCAAAAAACAAGTCAAAACAAGTAAGATGAAATCGGCCACCACAAACCGCCTAGTACCGCATTTCTATGGAGGCGCGCCAGACGTGGAAAACACAACAGCATCGTCTCAAAACACCAAAATTACGACCTGTTTGTAAAACAAATTCAAAGATGTACATTTCACGCGGGAAAACAGCTTCATATCAGCAGATGAGAAAGCGACCGTCTTGACCAATCACAGAAGGCGATGACTAGTGACCCGTGATCACCCCCCTCGGACGCAAGCTCAGGTGGTCCTTCCATGACGTCAAAAACAAACCGAACTGAGAAACGTGACACCGACCGCCATTATTACCTGGGACCACTTCCGTTCTTTCACGAAGTCGAACGAAAACATCAACACTTTTGTCTGAGTCGTTTGGACTTGGAAAGCTACACCGAACAAGGCGTGTCTTGTATCACAGTGGGGCGGGCATACCGTCGAACTTGAAAACATTTAATTCTGTAGAACACAGACCAGGCAACTTCTGGAGCCTACGCGTAGTAAGAATTTATCCCGATGTTAAATTTGGACAACGCTTCCACTTGGAACGTTTACCGTTAACGCTATACCGTTGTCGATTCAGTCAATGGTAGGACCAAGCTGTATCTTTCGTGACTGTATCACAGTGTAACGGTTCGGTCCCGAAGCCTCTAGATCTTCAGAAATATGCGTCACAACTACGCTCTCCAGACTGACCTGGACAAAACCTATTACGTGAAGCTTCAGGAACGTAATGTAATACAACCTGTTAGTACAGACGTGCCACGGTGGGGTAATATATCATAGTTTGAGTAGGGAGAGAAAGGGATAGGGAGAGAGTGGCAGAGAGAGAAAGAGACAGAGAGAGAGAGAATCAGAGAGAGAAACAGAGAGAGAGAGAGAGAGAAAGAGGGAGACAGACAGCTGGAGACAGATACAGACAGAGAGACTGAGAGAGACTGAGAGAGAGAAAGGAGAGACAGATACAGAGAGAGAGAGAGAGAAAGGAGAGAGACAGAGAGAGAGAGACAGAGAGAGAGAGAGAGAGAGAGAGGAGAGAGACAGATACAGAGAGAGAGATGGAGAACATATCTCGTCCTTATTAGGAAAGGGACCGGATGTACATCTGAGCTCGTAATGATGACCAGACGACTAGGAAAAGGCAGAGGGAAAACTGCTCAGTTTGCTATATTTAAAACCACGGGCATCCATTGGCTCGAGTTATCTATAATGTTTTCGAGTCCAAGCGCAGTGTCTCACGTAACTTTGACCGTGCCAGCTTGAAGGCTATCCCAGTTGGGTCAGACACATATACAACCAGAACTAGCCTGTAAGAAACAGGCGGTAACTCTCGAGCCATCTCTTTAGACCTAGGAAATATGAGCAGTCACTGCACACGACGAAGGGCCGTTTTAGCTTAATAGCTTCACAGCACCCATCGTTCTCTGACGCTACCGCTGATACAGCTATCCGCGGCTACTGTACACAAAAAGAGCAGTCTGAAAGCACCATACCTTCCGCGATTGGAAGAGTCGTTTCTACAGCAATTCCAGACAGTTGGTGGTTCGGGTAGAACTTCAGGGCCTGACAGGGTTTTGCTGTGTTTACGGTCTGCACCCCGATCTGTGTCGGATCCCATAGTCTTACCGTAACCCGAGACTTTCTACCGGGATTTACAAGTGTCACTCAAGGGGGGAGGGGAGCATTGAGTGCTCAAGCGCTTTTGTGCGTATTTGTTGATAGTAACGACGCAGTAACTCACAGTGACTATAATATGTGTGGCAATAAAAATGATACTAGAGTTGTGTACAGGTGACGTTTTCACCACTGCATGGTTAAAGGAAATATTTCTTATTACATTTGACCCCCTCCTTAGCCAATGTAGTGGTCCTTTTCTTAAAGGCAGCGTTCATATCATATTTCAGGGAGCGAACACAGGGGTTTTAGGAAGCCCGGTATTTGCCATAAATGTCACTTCAATGTGTCCAAGAACTTATTTTCCCCTCAAAAATAGCCTGCCTGAATACAGCATTTATCTTAGAGACCATTACACCACCGGGACACCATTATCTGTCATTGAAGGCTTTCTTCGGAGCTTTCAAAACCCCCTGCGATGAGCCAAATATCTCCTAGTTACCAGGCGGAACTGGCACTGCTCCAAAACCAACAGTGGAAGAATGCGGCCCGCTTCCGCTTGTACAAGGCACAAGCTGCTGACCCCGCGCGGGAAACGGGAAGCACACGGGCGCCCCGAGAAGGCTTGTACGGTCCTCGTCAGAATAGAAACACAAGTGGGCAAGAAGAAATAATTGTACACGGTGTCTAGCCTCTACCAGGCTTCGGGAAGCGGCTGGAGAGAGTAGAAATTGGCCAAATAGACAGATAACATGCCAGGTGAGTTGGTCTGGGCAAGAGTACAACTTTTGATTGCCGCTCCCGAACTGTACTCTTTCCCGGACCAACTCCCCTGGCATACTATCTGCCAATTCCGTCTCTTTCCAACCGCTTCCCGGTCATTGCCGGTAGAGGGGGTAATTTGGACTAAACGTCTGCGTATCCAAAAAAAATGCACCTTCTTTCTACCATAAGAAAAACGAGGTCCAGTCAATTTGTGCCCCTGGCGCCTTTATTTATTTCTAGACGAGAACTAATATTCAGTGAACAATGGAAGAATGTATGTTCACGGTTCACAAAGCTCGGATTTGAGAAATGGTTTGTGGGTGTGTCGGGTAATGAAATCTTACAATTCAGGTGAAATTCAGGAAGTGTCAGGATCAGAAAACGGGAAATCCTTCTGGCTATATCGTGAATCACTGTCTCACGATTGTCACGTTCGAACGGTTGTTTGAGTTGCCATTGACGTATTGTCTGGAGAGGACAAACTTGACAATCCGGGGGCGTTGTGTTTTGTCCCCATAGGTGTGACTATATGAGTCACTGAAATGTTTCGTTGAAAAATCTCGTAAATTCTGAACCTGTAGTTTCCGGAGGTTTTAACCTTGTATCGTCTCACTTCGGAAAGGTTTTGGTATTAGAGGGGTGGGGCTTACTCTTTGTATATTCAATACATAAAAAGTGCCAGCTATCAAATACAGTTGTAAATTATACTAAAATACATACATTGTGATTAGCCGGAGTAGAGGTACGAACGTAAAATATGTTCCGAATAAAAAAAAAATTGGGACAAGAGACCAAAGATGTGTCTGCATTTGGTCATTCTTGGAGTATATCACATTGTGTGAATATAATTGGAGTGAAGCAGAAGGGATAATTGCCCGATCGGTGCACCTTTTTTTCCGCCCTCTCAAATCTTCGTATGCGAGTTGCGTCTTTGTGTCTGTTGTTGCCCAGGTACAATTCGCTTGTCCCTTATGTTCCAATCCCCCTTATCCAAAGATTAAAGGCCCCAGTGCAGTTTTTAAGGCTTGGAAACCCGACTTTAAGCCAATATTCTAGTCATTTATCTACATACTAAGCTGAAACCACACTATCCCAAAGTATATTGAGTGGAGCAAAAATTCCCAAAATTCTGAAAATGGTTACTGGAAGGGCCCTGGTTTGATTTTCAGGGTATAATAAAAGGAAATAAAGGACTCATCTATCTAGGGGCTTGTTTCTGCAGTTTTAAAAGCCCAAAGTATGAAATGCTGACTCAAGTGTGCCAATGTGAAGTAGCATGTGTCGATATCACAAGGATTGCCTTATTTAGAACATTTCCAGTTTTGCTGCCCTGAAATCGAATTGGATGCCTTTAATACATTCCCATTATGTATTTCTTTTGCACGCGAGGCTTCTGTTTTTTTGAGCAGAGCAGGTGATGAAGTGTACTAGCATGACTTGTTCGTGCCCGCGACACCACCAGGGATCTATCGCAGTCGCCTGGACTTGGCGAGCACGCAAGCTACATCCGCTTTCCGCACCCGTACGGGCCACAACAGGGCCGGAAACGGTAATGAGAAACAGACGGGGGCCGACAAGTCGAAAATAACCTCAACAGTTCACAACTAATATATACAAGTAGATGTTTTGAGCCATGCATTCAGAGGAGAATTGATCAGTAGGAAGACGACGTAACAACGACATATCAACAGTTGACAACTAATATATTCACAGGTAGATGTTTTGAGCAATGCGGAGAAAAATAATTACATCTGCATAAAATGATCATGAAGTTATTGGAACGTACATACAGCTCAGCTAAGCACTATAGGAAGACGTCGTAACTGTGTTGTATGACTTGTATAGGAAAGAAATCCAACATTTTCTTGAATACGCGTATAGCATATGATATCATATCTCCCATATTATGGGCAAAGGGGAGGGGAGAAGTGAATGATGCCAAATTATAGAATGGTCGAAAATATCAATATGCATACCTCACTTGCAGATGTGGGGACTCATGAGGCTAAGGCCTAAAATTTTCATTAATATT